TGTAGGCCCTTCTTTGTCAAAGTTTTGAGCTTCTGTTTTATCTTGGTTTTTATAAGAGATGTATTAAAATTTTGCAAGGGAAGTTTCTTTATTTTTCGAGAAATGGAGCCCTAAAAGTTTCTCAAAAACTTCAAAATTCCTAGATTTAGGGTGTGATGAAAGTGATTCTTTTCGACGATTAAGCGTCTATTTCCTGTTTAATCAACATACAATGCCTGCCAAAAGTACTTGGAACACCCAGCAATTTGCAATGCATTTAAGATCTTTCATTCCTTTTCCGAAGAAAATTACTTCTTCCGACCCCTTCTCCCTAGAACAATCTTGAAAATTTAGAGAAATGTCATAAAAGAAGCGCAAAAGAAAATGCTTCCTAAAATCCTAACCCGTTTGATAGTAAACCAACATTGTTCCGTGGGGGAGAAAGGGGTGATTGATTTTGATCTTGGAAAATGACGTCAGTGTTCCTTGACTTTTGGCAGGCATTGTAGATCATCAGCGAGAAGAGCACTATATAACTTAATAGGTGTTCTACTTTGAGTTATCTCATGTCACGTGTTGTGCTTCTATAATTTAGCTCTTAATCTTTTGGTATTTAAAGTGCATATGACACGAAAATTTTTATTCGCTTAAATCATCAAAGAAACATCGCTGGTAACGATGGTGAGCTTAGTTTTTTCATTTGCGACTCACTTTCCCCAAAAAACGGGGTTTTCCGACACCCACTCGAGCTAAAATGTGTCACAAGAAAAACGCGGTCGAACCTGTGGTCACGTGACCCCTGTGACGTAAAGTGGTTGTGTATCCGTTGAATAGAACAAGGCTTCTGTATGGTTTCACTATGTGCGGGCACTACTGTTGTCTCCCTAAAGATTTTTTTCCTCCATAATTGTAATAAGTTTTATTTAGATAACTCAAGCAATGCCATCAAAGGTCAGAAAGTAATTTAGAAAAATTGTTTGGTTCATTATAAAATTGATAAAAATTGAAATAAAGTGTTGTGCATGACTTTATGGAACGAATACCCCCTTGAGGAAGATACCGTTTTGCTTGACTACACCTGCCCCAACAGAAGTTCGCCGCTTGGCATTACTTGGCTCCTGATTTTGACACCGAAAATACCAAAACATTTTTTCGACGTGATGCTCTACCCTCAGTTCGCAAACCAAAACAAGACAAAGAGCGAAGCAAGAATGAAAAAGCATGGTGAGTAATAAGTTTCCTATTGTTTTTTTATAACTGCCTAACAACGTTCTATTGTGTAACAGCTGAGATACGTTATTGGTAATGACTCGACAACACCGGGGGCACTCGCTTTATGGAAAAAAGGGACTCCTTGTCTCTCTGTGTGGGGTCCATATCACCGTTTTTAATACATAAAAATAACCCAAATATTCAATTTTGCAGTTATTTTTTTAAACCATTTAAACAAATGTAAACTACTTCAATATTTTATACAAAAGCGAAAAAGGTTTTGGAAACTAAAAAAGCAGGGGGTTGGCAACTCAAGAAATATTTAAGAAGCAGGGAAATGATATTCTATGGGATAAAGATTCAAAATGCAAGTGAGAATCGATTAACAATAAACAGAAGTCACCAAGTAACAAAACATGATATAAAAACTTTCAATTTTTTATAACTTTCAATCACGGACTCAGTCGTTTCTGTATAACAGAAATAGTGGTCTTTGACCTGGTTAGCCTTGGTCAAAGACCGAAAAATTAATCTTGGATCATTTTTGTTGTTAAATGTAAACATTGAAATATGTGTTTCTCGTTCTTCACAGGCAAGCAGCGTTAACGGAAGCTCTGCACAGATGGAGTTGCTTTGGCATCAACAAGGTTTTGAATCTCTCAGAAGTTCTGGAATAGAAGTATCTACGTTTGTCTCTGATAGACACCAAGACTGTATGCCATTGCACAGAGATACCTATTGAACAATAACATTGTATGACTTAATATGATGGTTGATTTGAGTTTCTCTTACATTCTTCAGAATCGGCAGGATCATAACATTGCATACAAATATGTATATGGTATACTCTTTTCTGCCAGATTTAATGAAAATAAAATATTAAATTTACTAATTCTAAGAATTGAAGGTGCTAAACAGAATTTGTATTTCTAGACAGTATAACTTTTACAGTATAACAACTAGACAGTATTTGTATAACTTCTTCTTCATTCGCCCATACAACGCAATAGGCCAGGCCGCTATGATCAGGGAATGGTGGCCTAAAAACAGCAGAGATGTACAGGGAATACTGAATTTATAACACTAAAAAACACAATGACAACTTATTTCACTCACCATTGACTCAAAGTAATAATTCCTCGCCATCGATCACGCTGTTGGGATTTTTGTATTCCATCTTCGTCCTCTGCCCGGTCATGAAAGCTTCGAGCCATGTCAGCTTCGCCTGGTTCCGCGTCTGAATTATCCGCAGGAAAAAGACTGGTTCGTTCTTGCGAGGCAAAAATAGCCCATCAGCAGCACCTAAAAGCTATTCCCCTTCACTTTCGTCAAAAGCTGACGCCCTCGAGCTTGAATATTTGCCGTGAGACATGTTCATAAACTCGGAAGTAAAACTCGGCCGTATAACTTCTTGTTAGTTAGCAATCTAAATTTTCGCTAACACAACCACTTTACGTCACTTCCTGTCAAACTCGACCCAATCCCTTGTGACAGAATTTGAAGCAAAAATCGACCTTGAAACAGCTGTAATTACAAAAGTGTTTGTTTTTCGAAAATCTTATGGTGATTTTCGTGATCAGCATACTCGATTACGTCTTGGGGGCGAATAAAAATTTTCGTGTCATATGCACTTTAAAGGCAATCGACAAATACTAAAAAGGCCTAAGTCATTGTTCAATCAACTGTATCCATTTTTAAATCGAAACGAATTTCTTTCCAATTGCAATGACTTGACAATTTTCTAAACCTTTTCTTTCTTAAACAGGAGGAAGCTAAAATGGTCATTAGAGGCTGCTGTGCGCTAAAACGAGGCTTGTTTTCACGCAGGGTATCGCCTGAAACATACCTCCCGACGTCAGCCAGTTGCACTGCGAAGGCCAACGATCCCAGTGGACACAGTGCAGTCCAAACGATGAAGGAGAGCGATAACCTCGATTTGGAAACACGGTTTCGAAAAGAGATTGCAAATGGGCAGAAGGAGAAGAATAATAAAAACCTTATTAAGGCTGTTAAACATTTTCAAGAGTCGTTGAGAATCGCAGAGAAATCAAATCTTGGTTGCTGGGCAACAACACAGGCGTTATCTGAACTCGGCGCGGCCTACTTTGATATGCAGAATTACGATAACGCCCTTGAAACGTTTCTCCGCATGCGATGCGAAGCCGATAAATCACATGACTTGAAAGGACTCAAAACAGCCAATCATAATACTGCTACGGTTTACGATATTCAAGAAAACCACGCAGAGGCTATTAAGTATTACTCTGAAAAGATCCGCATCGCTCTTGAAATTGATGACGTCACTGATTTGGAAGCGACGCATAACGACCTTGCGGAGGCATATTTCACTACAGATTGTCTTAACGAGGCGGCAGAGAATTTCCAAAAGGCGTTTGAATTGGCTGGAGCAAAGAACAGCAAAGTAGAAGAAAGCTTCGCATGCCGTAGACTAGGTGATCTGTATTACAACAATGGAAAGTACAAAAAGTCTTTGCACTACAAACGCAAGCAACTGAAGTTCGCAGTAGAATCGGGAGATACGGCGGAGGAGCTCGAGACTAATAAAGCAATAGGGGCTATTTATTGCGCTTTAAAGAAATACCAACTGGCAAAAAAATATTACAAAGAGACATTGCGTATAGCGAGGACATTAGGAGATGAGAGAATTCTAATGACGGCTGAAGAAGATATAGTAATTTTGAATAAGATGCTAAGTGCGAGCGAAAGTGAACGATGAGATATAGAAAGCAGGAGCTTAGGGCTATGCCAGCTGACAGATGCAAGTAAAGGCCTGGGTTCCAATCGCTTCATAAAATGACGTAACGTGCAGTTAGGGTAGTGAAAGCAAACAATACCCTCCCATATAACAGCTCTAGAATCTCCATCCCGGTCACAAAGGGTCACGTAATAATTTTCACTAGTATAGTTTTCACGTAACACAAAACTCAACTTAAGATGAAGATTTCTCTCAAAGCAATTTTTAGATTTAATGCCAGCTAAGAAAACTCTATTTTATAAAATAAAATGAGCTCGGTGCTCTTATTTATGAATAACTGGAGGCTCGGGTTTTCTTAATATTGTTTTTATTTCAGAATCAATTTTTCTACTGTATGAAATATAAAATGTTTCTCAGGCCAGTACATAATAGTTTTCCTTTAATTTTTAGTAACTCGGCAGCTTATAGAATCTGCTTCTATCATGTCATCACGACAAAAAATTTTCAAAATTGTTCTTATCTTCTAAGTTTTCACCTGTGGCTCACGCTCTTCTCGTGTTGTGTTGCTATCCTTCTTAAATAATAGACAAATTGCGCCTCGGTGTTCGTATGAAGTGTTTTGTTATAAAATTGTTGTAACATAAAATCATACTTGGCCATTATCCTTCACTCCCTATAGTATTGACAAATTTATCTTTTGCCTTCCACCATCTCCCCTTTAAGTTCATCTCCCGCCGCATCCCTGCCCATACGAATCCTTTACTTAAAAACATTAGAGACTCTTCTAGATTCACCTCCCCAAATAATCTTTTACTGGAATGCGAACATGGCCCTGGGGCAAAAGCGGAGGTCCTCTGTAAGCGAAACAAGCAGATAGTTGTTGCAAACACGCCCTTTGGATTAGTTAAAATCATCCATTTGTTTAAAATGTTTTACTTTTAAAGTATATTTTGTCACTTGTAATTGATTCCATTTTAAAACAAAATTCATTACTTACGGGGCCCCCTAGACCTTGAGGCCTTGGGCCAGTTTGCCCCCTCCCTTTCCCCTTTCCGGCGGCTCTGAATGCGAATCTAGAAGCCGAGCTGTCAAATAATGCTAAGCATGACGAATTTTTTTATTTATAGTTCTGTATAGTATAATGATTAAGCCGTTTCAGAGGCCTTGTGGTTTCTTAATCTTTTTAGGAGTAGGTCCCGGATTTGTAAAAAACAATAGAAGATTTAGGCACTGCGGTAAAACGTGTAGTACAAGATTGAAGCACAAGATTCGGTTGCATATCAGCGTAGAGTAGGCCTACAACCCCGTTCAGACAATTCACAACATGAAAAGTTGTAAGTTCCCCTGGAATGTGCTCTAACCAGGGGGGGGGGAACTTGGTCAAATATTGGGGGGCAAGCCTATTGTTTTAATCAGATGACGTCACATTTCCCATTGTTTTCGAAAAGAGACCATTGTCCTCTAAAGTATTGGGGGCCGTCGCCCCCCTCGCCCCCCAAGTGTCCGCCACTGGCTCTAACTGTGGCACAATTTGTGTTAGTATCCCCTCAAACAATTAGTTAAGAAGTTAAATCTAACAAGTTGATACGAACAACTTTTCCATCGCCCATCTGCCCCTCTCCAACCCCTCTCCATCCCCCATTTCCCCTTATCACAAGCTTTCCAATTTCCTTATCATATCACTATCCATTCTCAATATCCCAATAAATTCTCCCCTCCACCCCTTCATCCGCTCTCATCTCCAACCTCCTCTCTACTTTCTTATCCATCCCCTTTTCCACTACCACTTCGATCCTCATCTCCATCGCCCTCTCCAACTCTTCTCCGCTCCAATCACTTATCCGTCACCTATCCGTTCTCGTCTCCACCTCCTCTTCACGACCTTGTCAATCCCTTTATCCATTCCCCTTTTCATCCCCCTTCTCAGTCTCTTTCCACCCTCATCTCCTTGTCCTCTTCCCCCAGAATAAGCAGATGTAAACTATTTCAAAGGACTATTTCGATTTACTTTTCTTCTTCTAATAAAGACATTTTATCTTCTATTCTCCAATGAAATTGTGCAACTATTTCTTCGTTTAAGATATATATATATATTTGTAGTTAATTCGTTCTAAAAGACAGAGAGTCTCTAAATATTACTGAATTCAAAACAAACGAAATAATTTTTTCTATTTATCTGATGCTATAGATAATGAACCATAAAAATAGAATGGTGTTTATTTTTTCTGGCTTTAATCTTCGGAAATCATTGAAAATATTGGCAAAGAATCAAGAGTAACAGAAGCATTATTTCTGATTTGATGTTTCTTGAATTGAGAACATGTATTGTTTTTTCAATGCATCCTGTACAATTTCTTACATTAAAAAGCTTTGAAGAGCGACTAGGCCCCCTCTAGAAATTTCCAATACCTGAAGCCCATACTTCGTGGGCACCGGCGTAGCAGAGGCCCTGGTTAAACAAGACAACTTTCTTGCAGAGGATCTAGCCAGCGGTGAAGCCAAAATAATTTTTAGAGGGGTAAAGAAGTGCTTTTCGCCGAAAAAGGCGTGTCCTACTCTTAAAGGGTGTGGCCAAAAGATTGCTGCTTTTATGTGTTTCTGTTTCAAAGTTCATACTTTAGTGCCATATTTTGAAAGTTAAACTACAACAGAAATGTTAATATTTTACAATTGTTACGAAAAGGTTACTGGGTTGCCAGGTGAAAATCTATAATGTGCCGATGCTAACGGACAAAGTGTTGGGCGACGCTTCTGAATCTAACAGTGCACATGTACAAAAATGCCCTGGGGTGGAACTAGGACTCAAAAAACCTGTGTTAACTATTTATAGAGTCTTGCCCGATGAATATTTTTCAATTAGTGTTTCAATTGGACTTTTGGTATGATAGTTTGATCATGTTTCGCGATATTTTATTCCATTGAGATTTTCAGAATTAGTAAACGCACCATATTGTAATACACGAAAGGTTGTCATTTGAAAACTATGGGGGAATGTTCATTGGAAAAGCAGAGTTACCTATGTTTTCATTATTGGTATCCTGGGTACCAGACTCACTTTGATTCTGGTTCCCAGGGTACATTTTTGGTAGAAATATTTGGAGAAAAGTAACGAATTAAGAAACCAGTAGAGGTGCCAGCCAACAGTGGACCAAATCTAGAACCCCCGGTAAGACCTTTGTACTGTTAGAAGTGCCCTCTAATCTACAGGGAACCCAGTTATTTTTACAAAAGCAAAGACCCACGTCCCCAAAATATTTTTCCGAAATATTCCTCCTCCTCAACATTATCTCATCGAAATTATACGGGATAAAATATCGTTCCTTCTAAGAAGTGGAGAGGGGAGTGTATGTTAAAAGGTAAGCAGAGTGAGGTCCTGGACAGAGAACTGCCTGCAGATATAAGATCAGCACTGTTTTCCAAATGTTTAACGCAATTACTGTACTTATTCGATTAAGCCGTGGCCTACAATATCATTTTTACCTTTTTGGGGTGGGGGGAGGGGGGTTACAATAAAGGGGGCTTGTAAACGTAGGCAGCTATCATCATTTTATCCAGATCCTGCGAAGCTTCTTGAAGCTGAGGGTGATAATGTACGAACACTCCTTCCCCCTAAGACAATATTGATGATTAAGAAAATATCAAACAAGCCCCAAGGTAAAAAGCGTAATCCATAACTTCTTTCTTGTTTCTAAAGTAAGTCAACATTGTTCCTAGAGGGAGAGTGGGATGGCTGACTTTGGCAGCTTTCCTGCTTCCTTGAAGCCGAGGGAAATACATAATGTAGAAAATGAGGCCTGTGGGTCAGGCACCGCGTAGCGTTGAGAAAAGTGGGGGGGGGGCTAAAAAAAGTGGGGGGGGGGCGGGCTAAAACCGTATAAAAAGAGGCTTTTCTGGTAGTTTGATACTTAACATTTGGCATTTTTGTCTAGAAAACTGACCCTTCATCTCTGATACTTGATTCCACTTCGATTCCCCTTTTCATTAAAACGAAAGAAAATTTATACCCTTTTTCCTGAAATCAAGTAGTTAAAATAAGGCAAAACAAAGAAAATTTAGAAACTATATTAAGATTCCCATATAATACACCCTTTTTCTATTTTTCTATGTCCTAGATATAAGACACAATTAAACGCCTTTCTCAGATATATTGAAGACACGGGTACTTACACTTGACAATGAGAGTGGACATGTAGGGGTTAAGTGCACAATCAAGATTTTATCAGTTTATGTGTCAATCGTTTCAAACCACGTATCTTTGCATGGTTTGTTGGTGCGGCTTAAAATCAATTGCGACATATCTATATTTATTATGAACCCAAGTTGCTGCGGCTACTAATCGAGAGCGACTTATAATGGAATAGATACGGCCAGTGTGAGTTGTTTTGGAAGTAAATATACCCGGAAGTAATGAGCACAAAGGAGAGCAAAACAAACACCAAGCAAGGGAATAGAATCTTTTCTTTCCACGGAACAATACTATTTTCATTGACAACGAAGCAGGCCTTCTCAATTGCTGCAAGAAGCCTCAATATCCTAAATATTAGAAATTTCTAAACGACAAAGTTCAAGGGTGTGATATTTTAATTTATTGTTTTAACTGCTTGAACGAAATAGAATAAAAAAGAGTTCTGTTAAAAGTGCTTTGATTTTGCAGATAGAAATTAAGGAGCGTTTTCAACTGAATAAGTTGCGTCCAGCTCCAAAGTTTCCAGGGTTGTTAGTCTTTTGTCTTGTATCCCTTCCTTTTGAAATTTTGAAATTTCAATGACGCTTGAAGCTCGATCCCAGGCTTCCCTTTGTGAGTCTCCTGCTTCTTTTCTTACGCCTTTTGAATTCAAACAATCCTTGAATGTACTAATTTTGTCATGTCTCTCAAGGTGCCATTGTTTTGAGCACACCAATCACAACACTATATTGCACGTCAAAGGAGTAATGTGTCTCCTTCAGAACTATGACATATTACTAAATATTCCAACGACTCACTTTCTGAATATAATGGCGGATGAGTCACTGCGAAATTCCACTGTTAAATAAGTTGCTCATTGCTAGAAATAGCTGCGTAATCTTGTTGAGAATTGTGTCTGTGGGACATTAATTGTTGAAGTTTTTTTGGAGCGCGAAAGAAGAATTAAACGTGGAAGCAGCATCCAATTTTTGGAGCTTTGATACTAGTACTTTTAGATGTGTTTGACGCCCACTTCAGATTGGAGCTTTTGAAAAGAAATCGCCATGGTATGATTTTATTTTTGTAATATAAGCATCGTTTTTCCTGATATTTGCTTTGCAAGCTTCAAACTTTGCGTTTAAGAACAGATGATCTTACTTGTGCATAGATTAGTTTTTGTAATCCACAGAAATCTGGCCGTGTGGATAATTTGCTAATTTAGCCTGTATTTCAGCCTGTTTTGTTTTCAGGAGGTTTCTTTATTTTATGGTTAGCACTTTTGGGGGCTATTGAGCCTAATAACATGCCAGCCATTAACCTCACAGTGCCCTGATAATAATTAGCAAATAAATGGTTGCTTCGAACTGCAACACGTGTTTGTAAACTTACGTTCGGCTTTTTTGGAGGTGGACATCTTTTGTTAAGTTTGTTAGGTTTTCGAGGTGGTTCGATGTCCCTCTTGAAAACAATTTATCAGCTTCTCTCGTAAAATATCGAACATTTATCATTAGATTCATCATCACATCCGTGTTTCAGCAGACCCGTTATTTGTATCTGGTGTGTCCTAAATGCGGGATAGTTCAAAATTTTAACCCTCCCTGCGATGTAAATTCGGTCAACATCTAATTGAGTTTAACTCGGTGTTGTATAAAAGCTTGATCATTTCATCTGCCTAAAAGTAGCATAATTCTTCTCTTAAAGTCTGGGATTCCAAGGTAAACACGTTGTTTGTTCGTCTTTGGGCGGGACATCTTTCTGCTCGCTTTCAAATGTAATTGGAAGACAATGGATTTTTCAAGGTCTTTATCTGTCACGGCGAACAATATCGTTTCGAACCAGGAATACAAAACAGGCCACTTCATGTCGTTTCTCTTATGTTTTGCCTCCTTGTAAACTTTCGTCGGAAATTTTGAGCTTTTTTTGAAGAAGTATCGTATTACAAAAACAAGAATTGAAGATTTCTTAGCCTTCACCGCCATCTTTAGTGAATCTTCAACTTTGTTCCGCATGAACAGAAATCTTTTGGAAAATTTTGTTATTGAACTTGATCCAACCAGCACTGTAACTCTATAAACGCTTTCAAAACGGTGTAATTAGATTTCTCGTTTTCTTTCAAATCTTTTGCAAAATATCAAGATAAAGAACTTTTAAAGAAAGGTTATCAGGTGGGCTTTCAATGTTAAATAGTTTGTTAGTTTTGTTGTCTGGGTTATCTTTTTTCAGATAGTCAAAGCAAAAGTATTGCCTTTAAAGCATATTAAAAATTCTGGTTTGTTAAATAATTGTTTTATTTAACTTGGCATTTGAATCCAGTTTTCTTGTAATATTTCCTACAATATATAGAAAATTAAATTTGAGCTATCTTGTAACTGTTGTTTTGCAAATCAAATATTTACCTTCTTTTAAAGATGTTTATAGGTAGATCTTATCTAATAAGTTTCTAATGGCAAAATTTTACATTTATGTTCATCAATCATTTTAAATAATTATGTCCTTCAAATTTTTTCAAGAATAAGGGTGAATTTCTGCATGGATAATTTTTAAACCCTAATTTGCACTTTAATCTGAACAAAAGTAAAAGTTCAACATTGCGAAGTTCTTAAACAGAACTCAGTATCTAGTTAGATTCTAGATGAAAAAAGTATGCTGTCATTCCGTATAATCATGATCAATGTACCAGACAACGTTTCGAGCATTTCCTGTGCATTTCCATATAATTGTCTGTCCAAGAATATTTTTTAAAGGAGAAGTCCTCCAGGGCCTGCTGAGGTAGAAGTATTAGGATATTAACTTGCATCATTGCCTAGTCGTTTTGTTTTCTAAATATATACACGATTACCACTTTTGAATAAACTATTTGTAGCTTAAAGAAAAGCAACTTGACCTTTCAAGAACTAGCCTAAGTTCTATTCCTTTCTCTTTGAAGCAAGACATGTTTTGGTAATGGAGTTCAATTGCCTGAATCAGCAGATAGCCAGATCAGGTCTAAGGGCAATGCATACAGACATGCAAAAACTCTAGGGTTTATCCCTTACCTTATGAATGAGAGCACAACAACATTTTGGGCACATGTCTTTTACCCTTCAAGGATCTTTAAATTTATCCAAATAAAATGTTTTCAAGGTAAACAATTGAGACATAAGTTACCAAAAGTTACCAAGTTACCAAAAGTTACCAGATTAGTTACCAAAAGTATATATATATACAATAAAATATAACTAGGAATTAGAGTAGACTTGTCTGGGGAAAAAATAGCAAATTTAGTAACCAGGGGTAGCCACTTGGTCAAATAGTGGAAGGTGAACCTATTGTTTTGATAAGAAGGCATCACATTTTCCCATTGTTTTAGAATAAAGGACCTTTTCTCCAAAATATTGGGACAGCTACCCCCTACCCCAGGTGTCCGTCAATGTTATTGATATGCATCTGCTATTTTTTCCTAGTATAATTTCACTTAAATTCCAAGTTAATAAAACAAGATGTTTCAAATAGCTCAATTTTTCAAATAATCTGGCATTTGAAAGTATGAAGCTTCCAACCATTGCTACTATTTTGCTCAATGTTTTGCGTTATTTTATCTTGTTTGAACGAGGTCATCAAAACATCTTACAGCCCAGGGCTTCAAATTGTCCATTACATAATTGTTTTCGCATTTGACCCCATAAATGGCACCAAAGATAAAAGGAAACCAGTCTTTATTGTTTGTCTATTTCCAGCCTGTCAAAATAAAAAACAATTTACTTTGTCGTGTGTCTTTAAGTCTACCAGACATCTTAACATACAAAAGATAACTGTTAAAGTTCAGCCCTATTATCAAGATTTATGTCTGAACTAGATTTATTTGCCTCCTTTGTATGCAGATGAGCTGCCAGCATGGGATTTTGGAAGGACTCGTTTAGAAAACCATTTTCTTCCTGGTTTGAAGAGACATCCTTGAAAAGAGAGTTAGATATCTAAAACCAACACTTTAAGAATAATCACACAAAGGATTTCACAAAGTACATAAATAATCCTCAGCAAAAATAGTTGAGACTTTTCAAGAGAAGTTGATGTTTTCTTTTTGCCTTGGAAAATAGATTCCCCATTCCTGATTTGATGTTGATGATAGAACTAATTCAACATTGATTCAGGGGGGAAGGGGGGATTTCAAATTTACAATGGCAATGAAATTTTACGAGTTGCACGCTATAATCTTCTTTGCTCCTAAATCTTTAAGACTGCTCATAAGTTTTGGCTAATTCTGAATTTGGTTGATGTCGCCTCTCGTGTTGAGACTCAAGACTGACTAATCATCATAAGATAACCACATGATACATACTAAACACAAGCAACATAAATTAGCATAGTAATATCTAAAGACTAGTGTCCAGTCCTATTCCAAAGAAATTGAATGGGGCCACAGAGGTCTGTATCACGGCTGTCCAGAAACCGAGATCTTGCTGTTCATAGAGGCAGGCTTGGTCATAAGACTTTTACAAGGGGAGCAGTAAACAGCTCTCCTAGTATTCTCATGTGAGCTATTTGTAAATGAATATGAATAGAAACACAGGAAAAAATTGACTTTGGGGTGAGTAATTTGCTTTGTAGGAGAACAATCTATAGCTCCTCTTCAGAATTTGAGGAGAGCCTGGAGGGGAGTAATAGCTATCACGCTCCTAAAACGGCCAGGCCTGTAGAAGTACCCCTTTTCTTGCCTACATGTGTCCCAGGCAATTTTGATATACTAGGATAAAGTGTGTAGAGATGGTTTGGTTCAGAAAGTATGGTTTGCAAAATATTTTAATTACTTTCATCAGAATAACGTTTATTGCTCAATAAGGCAATCACCATTTATTTTATCCATAAAATGAGTCATTATAATTTACAATTGTGTGAGAGAAAATCAAGCCTATCCTTAAGCCAATATAAATGTAGTTAAATGTAATGAGTGTTTCATTGAGGTTTAGCAATAAGCTTTATTAAGATATGCTGACATATTTCCCTGTGTTTAGCTGAAGTTGCTGTAGGATATAATTCTGAAATGATGACATTACAAAAGTTTATTTTTCTCTTTTGAAATTGGATCACAAATCAAGAAAAGCATAGTAACACCCCTTTTAAGAAAGGGGGGGGTCAGTTAAATTTTAGGGAGGGTCTCTCCTTGATTAGCCAAGCAACTGAAAGAATTCCTTTGCAAGAAATTCCCCTGCATGCAATTCCTTTCTCCAATTTTTACAATTCGTTTTTTTTATTAGGTAGTATATATTTGTTTACTTGTAGTGTATTTCAGGTGCACTGGAACATTTTAGGGATGAGGCTCTAGGCGAATTTGAAAAAAATTGTTGGTTTTTCCTCCATTATCTTTGATTTCACAACATAAATGTCATAGTTTAAGAAAAAAGTAAGAGGACAACACTCCCCAGACTTTCCCTGGCTCTTGTGTTCCTTTTTGTAGAGGAAATTTAGAAACATGGAACTGAAAACTCAGGCTGGTGAATTATTTTAATTTAAATGACTCATTTATGGCAAAAGTGTTCTTCAATTTCACGTCCTGAACTTGGCAGCTCCCTCTTGTTTTCGCTAGAACTTGGCAGCTCCCTCTTGGGTGCTATCTTCGGAGAGAGCAGAGTAACTTGTAGAAAGTTTAACACCAAGTTCCTTATCTGTTGTCCCAACTTTAAAATTTGGCCCACCTCCAATATGGAAGATTCTTTGCTTGGTTTCCAAGTTGGTAGTGTCTTGAATAGATATATGTTAATGACCTCTTGGCCTCTTGTAGATATTTCTCATAGAACTTTCTTATCGTTAATGAAAGGTTAAGCTGACATGACGTCACCATATATAACTTGTGCCAATTATATGATTTTGTTTATCAGATCACCTTAAGTCCTGGAAAACGCCCCTGGAGTCTTATTTTGCAGAACACATTTTTGTGTAGGGGCTTATCAGAGGGGGGTGGCATAGTTCAGAGATGGGGGCTTGTTTAGCAGCCAGGGTAAATGTTCTTCCTTGATTAAGGGCTGGTCAATATCCTTAAATTTTGAGCTATGTTGGGATAAACATATTGCTGTCAAGGCAACACCTCACCCCATTCAAGGGGCTTATTCAGGGGTAAGGCCAATTCCTTGCAATACCTCACCCCATTCAAGGCGCTAATTCGAGGGAAAGGCTAATTCCTTAAACGAGATTTTGATCAATGAGGAAATCAGAGTCTACAGAGTTCAGCCACAATAAGCGGTTACCAGATTTGCTCATATGTGTTATGGTTTTGCAGTTTCCTCTTTGGTTTTCAAACACATGTTCCTGCAGGGATTACATGTACAAAGTCTCCCACGAAAACCACTTGACGAAGTCAGATTTTTGAACGAACGTCTGTCATCAAGGAATTTTATCATTTGACTGAGCGTGGTTTCAAATAATGTACAGGATCATGCGAAGGGTAATTCACTCTTGCAGAGGCGTGAAGAGATTCCCACAAATGGGATTGCCACCAGATGTGTACGAGATTTTCATAGGCCGTTTTGTCCCACGAATTTAGGGGCAAGGTCTACGCAATATTTTACAGATTGCAGGAGCTTTTACGTTTTGAGGGGGGCGGGGGTGGTGGGGGCTGAACATGCTAAAAACCAAGAACAAAGCGCTTGTATGGTTTTAGGTACATCTTACCTCCGTGGTCCCTGCAAAGGAGTGAAGTGAAGGGTGAAAAATCTTAAGTTTTGTTGGAACGTTTTTAGATTAAGGATAAGGATATAGGGATTGGCAGGATAAAAGTTTTACACTCATTATTTTTAATAAGAAACAAAGGTCGATGTTGAGTACTCCAGTTTCTTAATGTTCTGGAGATTTCAATACTCATTGTCTCTTAAGAGTTTCTTAATCTTGATGTCATGAATGGTGTTATTAAATGTTCGTGACCTTTCTTAGCACGTCATAAGGTTCGCTTCCGTTCTGAAGCTGTATTTAGACGTTGGAAGTATATTTTTATCCCTTGTGTCTTAATTTTTAGGCCATCAGGGCTATCATGTTCTTGGATTTTACAAAACCTCGTTGTTCTCAATTGTATCACGATTTAATAGTTTCTTAATTTTTTTGCTTGGACCACTGAAGTTTCTTAATTTTTCTGACTGTCCAGTACTCGTTTCTTATAGCCAGTTTCTTAGAAAAAATGAGTTTATGTTTCTTTAGAGTTTCTCATTGATTTTCACTGCATTAAAAATTTGAATTGGGAAACAAATTTTTATTTAGAATGTGTTTAATTACAGAAGATGATAGACTTCCAAAGCTGGTTGTTAAGAATTATTTCTCCAGCAATAATTTGAAATTTGAGGAAAAGTTTTGAAGCAAAATATTGATAAATTTTTATTTTCATTCCGAAACACCATTACTTCGGCTTCCCCTATTCCCAAAAAAGCATTGATAAATTAAATTCAGTACGTATTACATGAAGATCTGTATCGTTTCATGGAGGTAGTGGATTGCTAATGGATTAGAGCCTCGTGTCGGAGCAGTAGCCTTGGTTTGGGGGCCAAACCCCTTCTTAGGACAATTCTTGTCAACACCACCAGTTAAATTCGATATTAGTGTCCCCATACTTATGTCAGTGACTTTACTTCCGGAAAACAGAAATTCTGCGAATAGATAAATGATTCATTCGGAGAAAATAAAACATAAAGAACATATGTATCGCATGCACAATGGAATGGATTTGAGCTAGTCCGACCTTTATCTTGTTCGGATCAGTGTTGCATTCGCGCGGTACCCAAATATTCTTCCTTATCCCCTGTTTCCTCTCCTTCACAGCGACCTTCCACGTCGCAGATCTAATCCTTCTTTGCAGTACAAACATTTCCCCATATGTATTAAACATGCACAAAGCCTTTAGAGAAATCTTTTCTAGGCCCTAACGAAGCATTTTTTAGTAAAGGTCTCCAGACAATGGTGTTTTAGCTTAAGGCGACGCTCGGGCTACGATCCCCATTACTTATGAATTAATCTTATGAATTTTTAATTTTGTTTTGTAATTACTTTGTAAATTAAAAACGATCAACAGAATTGATGAAAGGATGCTGATAAATGTTTCATGGTTTGGCCTTTTTCAAAACAAGTGCGTATAAAACCAGGCAACTTACAATTTGTTTTGATTTTGATACAAAACCCGCGTAAACGAGTGTTTTTAGAATGTTTCTATGCTCTTATTTCATTAATTCGCCAAGGCTTAGTGTATTGATTGCTTTGGTTTTCGATTTTCAGTCCTCGTAAACATTTAATTTAAATTGTTGCGAAGCGACTCAGGAGCAAAGCATAAACTGTTTAACGAAGCTGGATTTGAGTTTTAAAAACGACGCAATAAAATCTCAAATCTTTGATCTTCCTTTAGCCTTCACGTCCTTTTCATCAAAGTCCTTATTATATAGATAAACATCAACTTGCAACCTCTTAGAAGTGCCAGTAAGAGAGACTTTGATATGCTATGATTCCAAGTTCCATGTTTTCGCCTTCCAAAAGCGCAGAGGCACTATGTCACGGTTCATTTCGCTGGTCAGAATCAGGAAAACATTACAGTCGCACGGCCAATGACCGGAGGAAAATCCACGAAAAACAGTGGAAGCTCCTGTGACGAACCCAAACCACGCCCACTTTCTATTGTTTTGTGAGGAAGGTTTGCCTTCTGGGATGTTTTTGTCTGGAGGAAGGTTAACAACTTTTCTGGACTGTGTCGCTGGCCATTTGAATTTGCCATTGTTTGGACTACACAATAGACCAATTGTTACTTATCCAATCAGCAGCGTGACTAGTTCTCAATGCCCTATAAATCACAAACGCGCTACACAACTCTGAATGGCTGACTGAGGGGACATCGTGACTTTGATCTCCGATAAATTTGTAACTATTTGAAACATAAGTACTGAATGTTTATGTTCTTAACACAGCATCACGGTGTAATTTTTATAAAAGTATTCCATCTAATTTTGAATTCTACTCGATATTTTTTAGGATGAATCAGCTTACGATACAAAGACAGTTATTATCGAAAAGGTAAGAAGAATATTTCATGACATTGCTTTCGAAACCTTATTTGTTCAAAGGAGCTGAAGATTGGATAGAACAAGATACGCTAGCACGAAGATAATAATCCTTTATAAGGCGTCATCGTCTGGAAGAAGGGGATATTTTTTCTGGATTTTACTCTTATTGCTCGTGTTGATAGTAATTTTTCTTTTCTAAAGAATTTGGTACTAAGTCAATTTTTTCATGAATCATTAATTCTTTCCTTTTTATAATAAAACATGGTGGCTATTAAGTTTTTGCAGAGTTTGTGAAAAATCCTCTCTGATTGTCCCTCCTGCATTTTTTGTAGACTCAGCCGAATCAAGGCTTTGGTATTGCCATTTCCGGGGGTGTCGACAATCCCCATTTCAGCACTGGTTCAACGGCAATTATCGTTTCGGATATCGTACCCGGAAGCCCGTCAGATGGCCTGCTCAAGTGAGTTGAATTATTTTTTTTAAATGGCTTTGAAAATAGCAAACATTTAACAACATATCGTGAAGTGTTATCAAATGTTTGTTTTTTCAAAGCCGTTTTCAAGTTCTATACCGCCAAAATATTGTTCAAACTTAATTTACAACGCAATCTTTTTTGAATTTTGCCGTTATCACATAAACAATTTTGCCGTTATCACAAAACACTTTCCTCTGGTCTATTTTGATGTACCTATTTAGGATTTATCGTTTTATATAGCTACCTTTATATCAAAACTTTTTAGCCCCTTTTCATAAAGCCTCCGCTTTTCCCTTAACCCCCACACAATGCAGTTGCAAAAGCCATAATTGGCCGATGCCATAAATGGCATTGAAATGCAAAGCACCCTTGTGACATTAGCATTAAGCTAAAAGATTCATATCCAAAATTCAAAGATTAATACATGTAAACATCACAAACTAAATGTGACATATACAAGTAGCAATTACATCGATGTAAATACCTCCCTCCCTCCACTTTGTGCCCCACTCTCTAGAATGTCGACAGTTACATAGGCCCTCAGTTTTCAATAGAAATTTCTTTTAAATGAATTTTTCCCTTTAATTGCCCCCTCCCCCCAACGCAAGGCCTAGCCACAAGTCATCCGGCAGAGGAGTAGTGAACAGTTCTCCCAGTAATTTCCAGATGAGCTATTCATAGATAATAAAGAATTGATGATTAATATAGAAATAAAAGAAATATATACTGATTTCAAGGAGGTTTTTTAATCAATAGACCACTTTCGCAATGACTTAAATCCAGATTGATAACGAGGTCTGTACGCCAGAACGAGATAAGTGATGTTCCGATTCCGATGTGCAATGTGTGTGCCAAACAGCTTTAATCAAAACAAATCGCCAGGGGGAGTTGTCTCGTTTTGGATAATGGCGCCTCGCTTCCATATGCTCATTTACGTCATTGCAAAAGTGGTATATTTAGAAGAGTAATATTCAGTTCCCCTTAAAGACTCACTGCTAACAATGAGCCATTGCGCTACGTAAGCATCCCATAATGCATTTTTAGACTGTCTAAAATCAATTACTGCCATTGTTTGGACCATCGCCACGCTCGCAAAGGCCCATTGTTAGCAATGAGTCTTTAAGCATGAAGAGAGCTGGGAGGGTAGCGAGAGTTATGGCTTTTATCAAATGACCAGACCTGCACAACACCCCTTCTTACTGATTCAAACACGCCAGTTGATAAATTCACCTTTAATTCGCCACCCCCATATAGTTATTTTCCCTATAATTAGATACTTTACGAATGCTTCTGTAATTTTCCTTATTTCAACGAGTCAATTTGTAAAACAGTTATTTCTAGCTGAAATTTCTAATTTATGTTTAAAATGAAAAACGAAATATTATTGTATATGGTAAGACAGTGGCTTATGCGAATCTTGTTTTGTTCCCAGGGTCAGCGACCAAATCATGTTCGTGAATACACGAAACATGAACCGAGCTAGTCACAATGACGCTGTGCAGGCGCTTAGAGATGCTGGCATGCAAGCGAGAATGGTATGGTCACGTGATACTCTTTCAATCCATTACCAACCTCATAAAACTCACCTTCAGTCACAAGATGCCGTGTTCCCTACTTTTTCCACTTTTATGTAACTTTTGATATTTTTTTGAAAACTTTGTTCTTTTACTGTTGTTAATAATTTTTCGAATTTCAAATTGTATAAATGTTGTTAATTGTATCACAAGCGTATTTAACAGGGCACTTAGCTTGATAACCTTTCAGGTTTGTCTCAGCGTCCTAGGCAACACTCACAGATATTCTTTTTTATAATCACAATATTCTTCTTTTTTATGACATTAAGTAAATAGATTTTTAATATACACGCTGTAAGAATGTTGCTTAATGAAATGAAATTTAACAACCTCCTTCTGAAAAGGAATCTCCTCACTGGCAGCCCCCTTCTCCCAATAAGCTGCTCTTTGACAACCTCCGTTTCATATTTACTCCTGTGTTGAATTATTTTCTGAGTGAAATATAAAACTGTCCAAGCTGAGACATCCCGGCAGTCATCAGCTTTTAAAGAGCTTTTATTTAGGTAACGTTTTTGTTACTTCTAGAGCGAGAAATAGATAAATTTCTATTCATTTTGTCAAAAATTAGTCATAGGAAAGGGACCAGTATCTATACCCTGGGATTTTAGAGCACTATTTCTCGATGCATTTCGATGGCCATTTCTCATTGGTTGGACTATACAATAGGCCCATTGTTAGGGATCCAATCGGCAACGTAAGGCTAATTCTTAAGGTTTTCTCATTCATAAACTGAGGCTTTTTCTAACTCTGAACGGTTGACTGACAGGATGTTAATTGCCATTAATTGTCCTCTTGTCAATCTCAGGTAATCAGAAGATTAAAGGTACCCGGAAGCCCAAGGTCTGCTCCAAAGGAAGCAGTCCATAAGGGACCTAGCACCCCGAAAGGGGCCAGTACCCCAGTTGGGGGTAGAAGACAAGAGGCAGCCCAGGAGGTGATGCAAAAGCCACCCGAAGCACAAAACCTCAGTGTCACCGTGAACGGACATGTTGACAAACCACTGGACGACAACAAAATCAGGGTGACCATCGAAAGAGGAGGAAGAGGTAATGTGTTTCACTAGAGCTTATAAATCTGGCCAAGACAACAGTAATCGATTGGCAAACTTCAGAAATTTCTTGGCCATATCCCAGGAATTTTTTAAAAGATTAAAGGCTCTTGCGCAACCAGCATGCTTAGCGGCAGTTTTCTCGAAAAATTGATTGTGTTTTGTATTTTCATGCAGTAGGATAATAGGCCGGTTTTGAAAAAAAGATTAAAGTGTCTTTGAGTTGATTTTGCACATGTAGAGTAGCCAAAATTAGAAAAGATTGTAAAAATGTTTTAATGAAGTGATCCTTTGCCTTGGAGATCTCAAAGCTGTTTGCCAAAAAAGGATTTGGTATTTATCCAATCAAAATGCGTGAACCAACCCTCATGAAAGAGTCTCTTTCAACTGTTATAACAAGATCTCGTGCGGCCATGCCTGAATTGCAGTGAACTGATGGTTATCTGTAAAACCAGCTTTACATAGGCCACTATCTTTAAGTATGTAGACAAACGAATTTATGGCTTAAGATTTCTATATTGAAGATTTTAAAGACTCGTTGCTAACAGTGAGCCTTTGCGCGCGTGACAAATTGTCCAGACGACGATCCAAACAATGGCAGTAACTTTCTGCGGATTATTCAAAATTGATTTAAGATTCAATGCATTATGGGATGCTTGCGTAGCGCAGTGACTCATTGTTGGCAATGAATCTTTAAGTTTTGCACAGCTAAACCCATTGGTTTCCGGGTTCCAGTAGCTTTTTGGAATTAACAAAAAGAACATGCGAGTAAAAAAATTATATTTGGTTTGTAATAGTTAATCATATTAAATTTGCTTCTTAGGTTATGGTTTTGCGATGGGACAACTGTTTTACATCAGAGAATTGGCACCAAATGGCCCGGCTTTAGCCACTGGAGAAATACAGCCAGGGGACCGGGTGATTGAGGTACATTATTTTCTTTCTATCAAAGAGGCAGGACCAAAAACCTGCTCGATAAACACAGCTTCTCAGGGTCGTAGAAACTTCTTGCAGGTGCTAGATAGAAACAAATACTTAACATAAGGTTGCTGATTTCTGTTCTATTTGCCTTCGGTCTGTTTTACAAACATTATACCCAGGCGCAGTGCTTGAGAGAGGGCACATGACCTAGACGTTAAGCGTGGTAAATTTAATCCTTGGCAAGTTCCTCTCTTCGCGGCCTTTTTCTCCCAAATGTTGTAACCAGACTCTCATTTTATACTGGGTTAAATAAGGTTTGCCTTAAATTTATGGGTCAACGTTGGTTTTTAATAAAGAACGTCAGTACTGCAATCAGAATCTCGCTAACCCCTTTACACTATGAAATGTAAGGACTCCTTTCAGGTTTAGAGATCTCATTTTTACAAGGCGAAATCTCTCAAACATATTCCATTGACTGTTTTCTTAATCAACAATTTTTCAACGTGGTTACGGATTTCTAAGGCATAAAGCTGTTGGTAAATAAAACAGTATATTTGGTTTCTTTGTCTGATTTTATTAAGCATCTTAATAGAGTATCTGGTCACCTGACAAACGCAAGTTACCAAGAAGGGCCTCCGTCGTCGTTCCGCTTTGATTCAAGGCCTACATTTATGCGAAGCCTCCTTTTGAAAACGAAACGATCTTTATCATCATAGAGAGGTTGTGGTTGTCATGGAGGCTATGCATCGTTCTTGTCACTAGGCGACCGTTCGTCAGCTGATTCAATATGCATGTCTAATATCTATTTCAAGTTATTAATAGTCTAGACATGCGCTTTGATATCATCTATAAAACAGGTGGATCAATATTTGCCATATAAAAACATCATTCGCTGAGATCGGCCATGAGTCAGAATCAAAATTGAACTTGATCAATCCAAGGCTTGTTCAAACAGAGGCCGTGAATCGAAACTATCAAAACAAAGGGTCCCGACTTGTGTAGACAGAAAGAGATCGTTTTCACTCTAAAGGCCGATTTCCATTTGACATTTTTTGTGCACGCAGGCGTAGCGCCCAAATTACAGTAGTCATCCCTTGGGTTCTTTTTTGAAATGTATCTAATTGATTTTTATATTTGGTCTCACTACGCAATGCAGTAATCTATGGCTTAACAAAACCCCATCCCCCCCCCCTCGCCCCTCTCAAACGGCTTAATGTTTTTTCCTGATAGATGATCTCGTTTAATTGCAATTGAAAAGACTACACGGTTCAGAACTGTTTAAATTTTTATTTAGATAAATGACAAACCTTTGGAAAAAGTGAAGACTTTAAGTGAGGCTATTGACCTCGTTCTCGGATCAACTAGCCAGATATCCTTGCTGCTAGAAAAGAACGCAGTGAAGCCCTTGCCAGCCGCAAGGACACCGAAGATGAAGAAGAAGGAGCAGCCGAAGCCTGTGGAGGAGCCTGTAGCACCTGTGAAGGAGCCTGCGATCGCTGAACAAGCCCCCATTGAATTGCAATCAGAACCACGTAAGCCTGACAACTATTTGATGACGTCAGTTTTCATTTCAGCAACCAATTGTAGCCTCCTTGTAATTTTAAAGTGTTTTTCCTACATGGGTCATTCAAGAAACTACTTTGAAAAAAATTTCGTTTGCTCGATCCGCTTTCCTTTAGCTTTGTCGCGAATGATGTGCAACCGAACGGGCTTTGCGTCCAAAATTCCTTCTTGGAAACCACAATATTTTTTTAGAACCCATAATTAATGCTGCCGACTTTCAGAATTTATATTCCCCATTTTTGTTGAGTAGGCTGGTATAGTTTGTTTGCCCCATTACACCCCGTCATTTGAGGAAACAGTTGGGGTAGATGTTAAATGCATTGAAAGTAACACCACAACAATGATGGGGGTAGATGTTGGGCTAGGTTAAAGTGGCTAAAACAGTGAATAAGGGTTAAGGTAGATGTTGCCCTTTGTATGCATGCTATACTGGGCACCGTCGTTAAATGAAAAGGGAATTGGATCCTGTGCGTTATGTACATGCCATAAAACATCCATACTGTAAAAAAGGATGGAAGGAGAGTTGTTTTTGCGTTTTATTTGTATGATACCTGTAGAATGATTCAAATAACTTTGAGTTGAAACACCCTCCCATCTAAAATTTTCTTTGGGAGCTCTATAGTGCTTAATAGTTGCCATACATCCTGTTTTCTCTGCAGCCAAAAATGAAATGGCAACAACATGGAAATCTCCGAACGCATCTTCTGCTGTGAAGGAGCAAGAGAGGGCGGATGGTCCTGATCAAGACAAAGAATCGTGGAGGAAGGAAGTGAAACAGCCCGAGGCGAAGCCGGCCAAGGTGGAGCCTGTGATCCAAACCAATGTGATTGATTCGTATGCAAGCAAATGGGAGCGTGAACGGATTGACCAGATCAAGAATAGGCGATTGTCAATGGGGTGAGATTTTTGTTTTCATTTCATTATTCCTATCGCTGTTATGAATCATAATCGCACTGACCCTTAGGGATTATTATAAGTAGCATTATCGCAATCGATCATTGTCAGCAATCGTAATCGCCAATCATAATCAACATTATCATCATAATCATCATCAGTCATAATTATCATAATCTGCATAATCATCATACTCAACAAACATAATCAGCATAATCAACATAATCAACATTATCATCATTCGTGCTCATCATAATCAGAAATCATAATAACCATATTCATCACAATCAAAATCATCAATCAACATAATCATCATCATCAAGCAAGCATAATCATAATCATAAATTAACACAATTATTTCTGCAATTATCAGTTATCTTTGTCATCGTCAATTCCGCCAACCTGATCGATCATCAATCACAAATCACCTTCTTCAATATCCATTTAGTCAGTTATTGTTCCAAACTAGTGTTTTCTTTCAAGTTTATATATATAATATGCGTGCAAATCATTATTTTCTGTCATGATTTTGCAGGCATGAAGGCCAGTACATCCACTTTTCAAAATCTGGCAGCCTTGGCATTCAAGTTGCCGGTGGCAACGCAGTTGGTATTTTCACTGCCGCTGTGAAGCCAAAGAGCAATGCTGCGAAGGCGGGTCTGAAACAAGGCGATCTTATTCTGGAGGTAACATTTTCACGAATCTTTATAATTTGCCAGACTTTTGTTTTCAATTTTTTATATATAATGTTTGTATACATATAAAAAGGTGACTTTGTTTGTTTGTAGTCTTTAGAAAGTGTCTACATGAAGCGTCAAATAGGTTGGAATAATTCTGACATATGATCAGTGAAAACCTACCGTTTGTTTGTAAATTATATAATGTCATTTTTACTTCGTTGATAAATTTCTGAATAAAGTACAAATGACAGTGACCTGATTGGGAAGAAACCTATGGGTTTCAAGAGGATATAAGGTCATGGAGATTGATTTCATTTGCGTCAATGTCTCATTGTTTTCTAGGCCAATGAGATTGATTACTTTTGCGTCAATGTCTCATTGTTTTCTAGGCCAATCAGATTGATTTCATTTGCGTCGTTGTCTCATTGTTTTCTAGGCCAATGAGATTGATTTCATTTGCGTCAATGTCTCATTGTTTTCTAGGCCAATGAGATTGATTTCATTTGCGTCAATGTCTCATTGTTTTCTAGGCCAATGAGATTGATTTCATTTGCGTCAATGTCTCATTGTGTTCTAGGCCAATGAGATTGATTTCATTTGCGTCATTGTCTCATTGTTTTCTAGGCCAATGAGATTGCTTTCATTTGCGTCAATGTCTCATTGTTTTCTAGGCCAATGAGATTGATTTCATATGCGTCATTGTCTCATTGTTTTCTAGGCCAATGAGATTTATTTCATATGCGTCATTGTCTCATTGTTTTCTAGGCCAATGAGATTGATTTCATTTGCGTCAATGTCTCATTGTTTTCTAGGCCAATGAGATTGATTTCATATGCGTCATTGTCTCATTGTTTTCTAGGCCAATGAGATTTATTTCATATGCGTCATTGTCTCATTGTTTTCTAGGCCAATGAGATTGATTTCATTTGCGTCAATGTCTCATTGTTTTCTAGGCCAATGAGATTGATTTCATTTGCGTCAATGTCTCATTGTTTTTTAGGCCAATGGATTGATTTCATTTGCGTCAATGTCTCATTGTTTTCTAGGCCAATGAGATTGATTTCATTTGCGTCAATGTCTCATTTTTTTCTAGGCCAATGAGATTGATTTCATTTGCGTCAATGTCTCATTGTTTTCTAGGCCAATGAGATTGATTTCATTTGCGTCAATGTCTCATTGTTTTCTAGGCCAATGAGATTGATTTCATTTGCGTCAATGTCTCATTGTTTTCTAGGCCAATGAGATTGATGTCATTTGCGTCTCATTGTTTTCTAGGCCAATGAGATTGATTTCATTTGCGTCGATGTCTCATTGTTTTCTAGGCCAATGAGATTGATTTCATTTGCGTCAATGTCTCATTGTTTTCTAGGCCAATGAGATTGATTTCATTTGCGTCATTGTCTCATTGTTTTCTAGGCCAATGAGATTGATTTCCGTGACATCACTAGAGAGGAGGCTGTTTTGATTCTTCTGGCCCTTGGCGAAGACGTTAGCCTCGTTGTCGTTCCAAAGAAAGGCGGTATGTATGCCTTTTATGGCTATGTTCTTATTACTTTAAATGTGACTGATGACAACAAAGCAGTCAATCAACGAGCTGTAAATGTGATCGGTGACAAAAAGCCTGTCAATCAACGAAATCTCCCTGTCATTAAACGAACTATGAATATAATTTCTTGTAATATTCCTGTCAATCAACGAATTGTCCTATCAAAATATTGTCCTTTTCCTTTCAAAATACCATTTACGTTGTATGGTATGGTAATTATTGGTATGGTATATGTATATGGTGGTCCAAATTAAATAATTCTGAAAATAGATTCTTATGACATCCTCCATTTCCATTCAAAGACATCATAACTTTTGCATTCTGTTGGTGTTGATCAAAAGTACAAAATTTGCTGTTTATAAATTTTTCATCTTTTAAATATCATACCTAGAATTCGACAAGATCAAAACACAGCTTGGAGACAATTTCTTCGTGAGGTAGGCCCTCTAACACTAAATATTCATGTTTGTTTTATGCAGTTATTGATATATCATGGAAGAGTGACTCATTGGCTTCTGAAAATGCCACTTTTCCAGAGGGATTTCAGGCTTGGTCATTTGAGGAGAGCTATAGCTCCTGCCCCCCTCCAGGCTTTCTCGAATGCTGGAGAGGAGCTACATGTTGCCCTCCTTACCTGCCCTAAAAAGAAAAAAAAGCTCTTCTTGAAAGCAATTTTCCTTTGTTTCTCTCGCTGTCAACCTTCAAATAGCTCAACTGAAAATACTTGGAGAGCTGTTTACTGTTCCCCTGCTTAAAGTTTTATTTATGGTCTGGCCTTAATTTAATATTTTCCTCTTAAGGGGGCAACCAGGCAAACATGTGGCCTAACTTGTATTTTTAAACAGTATTCATGATAAATTCTACCCTTTTTCGAGGGGAAATATGTAAAATGTAAGCAATTTGTCATCTTCGCCAATGTGTGAACCACCTCCTTTCAAATTCAAGAACCAGGCTACTGCTGGTTTGAAATCGATCAAGATGGTCATAGAATACAAAAGAATCTTGAAATCACAATTAAACAACACCTTAAAACCCTTTCTTTGAATCCCATTTAATTTCAGCACTTTATCAGTATCCATGTTAGAACAGCCTCCTTTCAGATGATTTTCTTCCACTGATGGTCGGCGTATTTTTCATTCTAGAGCCAATTTCGACCATTTCGATAAACCAAGAAACAACGAATTAACCTTTCGCAAAGGCGAAATATTCAACGTGAGGGACACGATGTACCAAGGCCTGATCGGCTCTTGGTATGCCAACAGAGTGGGACGCAAGGGACAACTTCTGGACCAGGGAATCCTGCCCAACAAGTCGAGGTAATGTTAAACATTCCAGCAACGAGACCGGTTTATTGCGCGCAGCGAAGGAGCGTTTTAGCTGTTAAAGTAGGAGCTGTCTAGTTTCCATACTGCTCGACCTGATGACGTAATTAGTTTACCCTAAACCTAGCCCTAACCCTAACCCTAATCCTAAACGTAACCCTAACCCTTTACTTGAAATAATGAATCATACTAATTTATGACTATTAATCATGCTTATTTATGACTATCAGGTCGAGCAGTATGGAAAAAAGACAATTCCGTTAAAGTAACGCTAAACTACCAAACATTCATTTGATGTCAAGGGGCTTAGCTAGCGGGGGATTTAGGGGTGTGACAACCCCTTTTTCATGAAATTTACTGCCTTTGATTATGTATATTATAAAAGTCTCCAGTTGGTTCTCAAAATCCTTAGTTTTTCAGTAAAATCGTCTATCTGTACTAAATGTGAAATAGCACCCATATTTTTCTTGATCTATGTCTTCGTCGGTAAATCTTACTTTTGATGACCCCTCCACCCCCTAGTGGAGAAGGTCGAGCTACCCTACTGGGGATGTTGCATCAAATTTTTCTTAGTTTGCCCACAATGTCATACGAGAAAATCAATCGCGAATATGTATGCATATCTTCTCAGTGTTCTAAAACTATCTTCGGAAGCAAAATGCAAAAAAAATTTCCTTAAATCTTTCAAATGCTAGAATCGGGAAAAGCCATAAATACTGCATACCTTTAGATTTGATATTGTTTTACATTAATGTTATTCTCGTTTTGATGTTGGTGGAACCTGATTCAGGGGCGGATCCAGAGCAAATTTAAAGGAGGGGCAGTTGGTAGTGGGGGCGCTGAAAAATTTTCAAAAATTGGTTACAAGAGCACGCTGTATAGAACAATTTCAGATACCTTTTCAGAATAAACAAAATAACTTTGAGGTAACCTTGAAGCAAATTAACCTATCTGTCCAAGAACCTTTTTCATCTGATTCTCATTCTTCAAAAGTGGCGCAGAATTTCCAAAAAAGGGGCGCCAGACTTGCTTCAACTCGTTGATGGAGGGGCAACTGCCCCTAGTTGCCCCCCCATCTTTAATCCCCCACTGACCTGATTGTCTCACAGAGGGAAATTGTCATTTGTGCCGTGCACACCAACTTTTGTGCCAATTGTTTTGTGCCAGCCAAGATTTGTGCCAGCCAGTTTTATACCTTGACGCTATTTTCATTCTCTAGAGCCGAACAACTTGCCATTGCCCAATCAACGGAAGAACGGGTCATGCCTAAGGTGCTTGGTGGCAAACTTCAAAGACGGGGGTCGCTTGGAGGATCGCTAAGACGCTCAAAGTTTAAGTTTACGTCACAAGATAAGCTGGACGACCAATCATTTAGTGAGTATCATCGCTCTAGGCTTGAAACATAAGGCATTTTATCTAGAATCGCCCTCCGTCCATACTTTCAAAGTACATTCGCATATAGCATTTATGACACTTGCCTTGTTATTAAGAACGGGGGGAGTACATGTAACTGATTAGAAAACTTCGCCCCCTAACGTCTTAATTCTCCATAATGTTTTAAAGCAAGAGTGTCATAGACTTCCACTAATAACGTTCGTATTCCCCTTTTTGCCCAACTAATTTTTGCCTTCTAATCAAGACTGCTTTAGGGAACTGTCCTTCCCTTGTTAAAACGAATGGTACAGTATCCCAGAGTTCAGACGCGCAATAAATCCTTTTGCGACAAAAGAATAATTTCAAAGAATAATTTCTTCCCAGAGAGCCAATTGAAATTTCGATTCAAAGTCAATGAATACCCTGGTTTCAAGCTTATGAACCAAAAATATTGTCCTTCTTATATGGTTTTCTGATTTCTGGAAAAATTGCATAAGAAACAAAATAGTTTGCAAGGTGAACTTACGTAGTAAGATTTCCACAATACTCTCCAGGTATTTTTTTATAAACATCAATTTTGATATATGGCAATATTTGAAATATCTAGAGATTAACTCAAGATGATTTTTTTGTTTTAGCTGACGTGAATTTCCAGATTCCTGCATACGAAAGAGTCGTTCTTCGTGTTGGTAAGAATCAAAAAATTTTTGGATCAAAATCGTTTCTGATTTAGATTTAAGACGACTGTATCCTATATCATCTGAAAAGCATGGCTGCAGAAAATCCGCTTTTTATCCCAAACACTGATATTATGTGTAACGACCCCCAGCCAGAGAAGACAATGTGTGGAGATAACATTATTTTTAGTTAGGCGCGATTGTTCTATTGAAAGATTTATGTATTCAAACAATGAGGTCACGTGTAACCATGAACGCTTCTTTATTGGTCAGGAAAACTAAAATACTCAATCTGATTGGGTAATTTGCAACGAATTGCTTTGTTTACATTAGCTGTACTCTTTTGTTTTTTTTCTTTCTCAGCCGATTTCATGAGGCCAGTTGTAATCCTCGGACCAGTTGCTGATCTGGCAAGGATGTTGCTTGTGGATGAAATGCCAGACCGCTTCTCTTTCCCCAGTAAGTAAAATTCTGGTTCTGTAAAATAGCTCACAACATTTAGGTCTTTTATTGTCTTGTGATTATTATTAACGTTTGAAGTCTGCTCCGAGATAAATTGTTTTCGGGTGAATTGAGCCACCCCTTTCCCCGTTGGGGTGTTGATTTTCCATTATTCGACGTTTTAAAAAAGGTTACCGTTCTAAGTGTGATTGGTTTGGTATTTAGCCATGATAGCAATATTGGTCTTTGGGGGGTGGAAGCAGAAAAATTCGGGAAACGAGTTGAAAAGTTTGTAAGAAAAAGGAAATTGTGGGGCGTGTAAGTACTTTGACAAGCATTGTAACTATAGTCTGGGGGAATTAAAAACATAGACAAAATAGATCGTAACTATGCATATAGTTATAAAAAGATTAAAATATAATTATATAAACTAAAGACAAAGATAAACACTACCAGTTTTAGTGGCCGGGATGGCGTTTGGAGGTCAAGCTGAACTTAATGCCATAATGGTTCAGTTAGAAGTGCTGGTAAAAGAGACAAAAGAAAGGATGAATTTTCGACTGTTGTTAGTTACTACTAGTTACCTTAGTTTTTAGTAGTAGACATGCCAACTTCCTTTTGTTTTGGAGAAAGTTTCTTTGATCTCATTCTTGAATGTGTTGCTTTTTGATGTTTATTTTAATGCTGATGGTAGACGTTTCCGTTGTGCTGACTCTACCCCTTATCACGTCTTTATTTTCTTCTCAACAGTGCAAGCAGACTCGTTTGGGCAGAAAACGCATTCACTGCCTCGTTCTGGTGACTATGACAAGTTGTACGGCGACACCATCAAATTCGCCAGCATCAGAGAGACAGTACATGAGGTAAGGAGTTAGGCTATCCTTTATTTTTGTTTTGTCCTTTGTTTTTGGTACTCAAAGTTGTTTTTTTTGTTTTTTTTCCGGAAAATTGTCCTAAGACTTTCAAATATTATCGTATTGGTTTTAAGATTCTTCCTAATATTACGGAGGTAGTTCCGGAAATAAAGTTTTGAAAAAGCAAAATTCTTGAGCTACTTTAATCATTATAGATATGTTTGATATGTTATGATGTTAAGGTAATGAAGTAATTAAACAACTTCCCTTCTTTAAAGCTTGAAGTTTTCCCTTAACGATTTACGCTGGCTTTGTCAATCAAAATATCCAATTGTCAATCTTCCAACTTCCAGTTATTATATATAACAATCTTTATTCTTTTAATCTTTATGTACATTTCATCTTAAAAATGCTGTTATCAATAGGTGTCCTGTAACAAAAAGAAAAGAAATATAAAAACCTATAAAAAAACTCTTATAAAACCTAGCAGTAATTACAACATTTAAAAGATCCGTACTTATAATATCACAATTTTCAACTAGAATGCTTCTTTAACAGTCCTTCATATTGCTTAAAAGATTCAGTTGTGGGTAAGAAAAGTTGTTGGTCTAAAAATGATCCTGAAAATACAAAAAGTCCTTGAATAAATCCCTCCCCCGTATAAGTCCCCATCCTAATGTAATTTTTGTGAAGCAAGCCCCCAGCCATGGACTGGGTATTGTCTGAACAGCAGTCGGTGTATCCTTATATATCTGTCCTTTTAAACGTTTTTAAGCAAACTGACCAGCCACAAATAAAGGAGGAAATTTTTTGCTGCTGCTAAATAAGTCCCCAATCTTCGAATAAGCTCCCCCCCCCTTTGAATAAGCTTGTACCCCTAAACATTTTTTTGCAAAGTAAGCCCCCAGGGTTTATTCTTGGGCTCACGGGTGGTATTCTCGATTTTTAGCAGCTAGATTTTTGCCAAAGTCTTTGTAAACGGTCACTCTCTTGCTGTCCATAACCAAACATTATTCAAAATCCTCCACTAGCATGACTTTTGTTTTCTTACCAACAGAACAAACACTGTCTGCTTGATTTGACTCCTGAAGGCATTGAGAAGCTCATGTTCTTCCAACTTTGCCCAATTGTCATATTGCTGAAGACTGTCTCTAAGGTTGCTGCCAAGTAAGTTAAACTTATTTGTGAAAATGCCAAACATAATTGTGAATAGTTTTGTTAAATCCATCAAAGGAACAGTAAATACATTTGATTTATCGCCTTGGGATAGCTTTTTAATGTAATAGATCCTTGGAAGATCTACTTGATTTCGCCTTTTCCCTTGAGTATTTGTCTTGGTAATTCGTATCAACTAATTCCCCAGAGAGTGTATTGCTTTGCTTCAACAAACGTAAGATCTATATATTCGGTATCTGGTATTTGGAAGAATGATATCTTTTCTAACTCAGAACCCTGAGAAGAAACCTGTCAGTAAAGCTGTTCTCTTGTGGCGGACCATTCTTGTGAACAGCATAAATTTGTCTAGCAGTATGTATCCTTAGGGGGATGTGGCACTCTCCAAGGTTAGATGTTTCCCTCGCCTTCTATCCACAAGAGACTGGTCGATGATTCCTTAGGGTGACAATCAGATCCAATTTTGTTTAGACAGAATCACATCAAACCGATTTTCTGTCCCAAGAGGTGACACATGTTGTTTTGTTTCAGGACCATGCGTGCTTCCATTGTTGATCAACTGAGACGAAGCCCCACGGGAGCCATTGATATATCTGCAGATCCGCTGACAAGAAAACACGTGAAGAAGATGCATTCGATGACGAAAAGGCTTGAAGAGTTCTACCCGCACGTGTTCACTGCCAAACTGAACACACACATTGCAGGCAGCACTCCAAACAACAGGGAATGGTATCACAAAATGAAAGAGATTGTATTCAGGCAGCAATCGGAAATGGCATGGATGCCAGAGGAAAAGGTGGGTTGCTTGGTTACAATTCCATAGAGACTTTACGGCCATTGCTCTCAGGCGATTAGAGACATGATCCCAGGTCCTCTGAGACATGCATACAATACCAGACTTTTTTCCAGTGCTCACACTTTTTAAGTCTCTTTGCCAAGTTCATGAACTCAAACCAACAACTCCTCCTTCCTCTCTGGATCTTGTTTACTTTAGTATGCTCTACCCTTATCCTGCTTCTCGGACTCTTACAACCTGACTTTATTCAAAACGAATATAAAAGAAGCTTGACCTTTCCTCTCTCTCTCTTTCTAATTCCTCTTCCCCTTCCCCTTGTTAGCAATTAACTATAGGCCATTGAACCTTTTCCTAATAGCACCAACTAAAAAAACTTGATTTCTGTAACATGTGGCCTCTAAATTACTTTCCTTCCTTCGATGATAATTTCGCCATCCTTGTCTTGTAAAAATCTCTAAAACACTTACATAGCTTTGTTAGAAATTTCTGCCTACCTTGACCAGTAAGAACCTTCTTTCTCAATTCCAGCCCAACGAAGCTGCATTTGAAGACATGGACTTCAAAAGGCCGAACTACCTCTCTTACGTGTCTGGTGGCGAAAGTGATACTGAGGCTGAGAGTGTCTGCTCAGAGCCGTTACGATTTGAAGACTTCGGTGACAGGTAGATCGTTGTTGTTGTTGCTCTTACTTAAGCTTTGTTGTGAAAACTCCCAATACTTGTTTATTCCAGCGTTTTTGTTGTTACATTGCATATTTATTTTATGATTATCATAATCATCATATATTTTTTGACACTTGACATCATCATTGTCACCCTGTGCTCAACATTCTTCGTCGTAACTATTGTTATAAGATCCTCCCCAGTGGTTAGTAGGCATCAATCTAAGCGGTCGTGTGCATGAATCTTAACCATCAGCCATTTACTTTGCCTAAATTAGGCAGCTAACCCCCGAGAACATTTACTATAAGTACAGAAGCAATTTACTTTATGTATTTCAAGCTATTCATTGACAAAAGGGAGCCAGATGTTTTGATAAGATGACGTCACATTTGTTCTTTGTTTTAGGCCAAAAGACCATTGATTTCCAAAATATTAGGGGGACGACCTGTCTATTCCCTTCGCCCCACTCCCAAGTGTCCGCCACTGATCATCATCAGTCAATCAATCATTAATTTTTATCAATCATGATACGTCAATTATCGTCTATTATCGTTTATTATCGTCAAGTATCGTCAATTATCGTCAAGTATCGTTAATCAGTCCTTATCATTAAATTAATAATCACAATTGTCTTCTTTGTCCTTAACACCAATCATAATCGCCAATCATAATCACCAATCATAATCGCCAATCATCATCCATTAATCATTATTGTGGTCGTTAATGATCAGAACACTTACACGCAGCATATCTATTTCACTCTGCAAGTCTGTGAATAAGTATTTACACTTTCATTCCTTCGCAAGTCTCCATTAACAAAAAAATCCGTTTTCCCTTGTAGCCAAGTTGACTCACCGCCTCGTTCTCCAGCACATTCTCGCCGCCTCAACAAACCTGACATTGATGACGTTTTTGAAGCTACCCACCTGTCAGAAACAGAGGCACCTCCTCCACAGAAGCAAATCAACGGTAAGCATTTTCAATAACGCCCTTTACAATATGCTGAGAATTGCAGGCAATAGTCTCAAAGGCAATTAACCACACTTCAATGCCTTAAACTACCTGTCAATCAACTATAGGCCAATGAACAAGCGTTATATCATTCGGATGCTCTCTGATTGGCCAAAACTTGTTTGACAGATGGCTCAAGCCTCTAATGCATTTCTTAATGTTGCTAGTTTGTCCTGGTTTTCCCCTTTTGAAGAAGGTCGACTTACTAACGTCATAGGTCTTGCAATTTTACTTTATCGATATAGATATATTTCGTTATGTATGCTTCCGTTAATAAAAGTATGGGTCCCTAATTTTACGAAAGCTCTACTTTGAGATTTTACTCAGATTCGGTTGCAGTTGTCAAATTTATTGAATTTTGTAATCGTCAAACTTTCAGTGTATGATGAACCTAATCGTGAAGAGTATGTTCCGGGCCAAGAAGCCGGACGTAACTTATATGATACACCTTATGACGAAGAACGCAGGGAGGTATCCCGGACGGCAATTACAGAAACCGTTACTGTACAGCATAGAGAGACAGTGGAAAGCTCGTTGCCACTGGATTCAGATGAGACCGGGTATGTTTCAGGTAGGAGACCGGAATCTCAAGAAGACGTGCCCGTTTTACGAGAACCCGGGTACAAATTGCCACCTGGATTTGGTGAGAAACCGGCAGAAAAGAAACCGGTGAATGCAATCAAGTGAGCTTTCATATTGCTGCTGTTTATTTTTAAGTAATTTCTGCTCTAGCATACCACATAAGAACCGGACTTTTTATCTAGGTCTACACCAAACCGGCTTTTCCTGTAGGTTCAACCTTTCACGTTTTGTACAAAAGAATTTGACGAATTTTAGAAATGAGGCTGTAAGTTGAATTGGTGTATTGACATATACTAAAGTGGCGTGAGCCATATGTTTATTAGTATTAGCCAATCAGAAACCGTGATACTACTCTGGCGCCTACTGGTTGGCCAATTATCCGATTTCATTTACAATCAGTTGTTAATTGTGAAATCCTTCCCTAATGATTTGCGTTGTATGTTATTCAAGGGTCTATCCGACCGACCATTCGGCGAAAGATGCAAGACAGTCGTTGCGAAGAACTGAGATCGTGAAAAATGAGACTGTGGAGGAGAGCAGCATCAAGCATGAGATCAAACAAAAGGGCGATTCCCTTCGTAGAGTCCCGGCTGATGAAAACCCGATGCTGAAGGACATGGACGATAGAGCAGAAGTCAAGGTTGGTTTCTATTGTTTTAGCGTTGGATCTGTCCCTGAAATCAGGGGTGGGCATGGGGCCAAATAAAGAAATTCGTTTTCTGAAGGACAATCTGCAGGGCAGAATTTCAAAATTTATCAAGGCGAAAGCTCCAAATCTTTAAAGGAACAAATTAAAACTGGATTGAAGATTTTTAATGAATACTTTGTTCTGAACAAGCATGTGACTGTTTAATCCAATACTTTTGTTCAACAAAACATTTTTCTCTCGTGTACCAAGTTCCTAGACAGAAAGCTTTAGAAACTGCGGCATTAAGAAGATTTTTAGAGAACCTTTATTCCCAAATAAACGAGAAAATGTTCTTAAACCAGGGGTGGACACTTGGTCAAACATTGAGAGGGAGGAACCTATTGTTGTGATAAGGTGACGTCATATTTCCCCATTGTTTTAGAACAAAAGACCATTTGCCCTCCAAAGTATCGGGAGCGGCTTCCCCCCTCCCCTCCCAGGTGTTCGCCACTGCTGTAAACCATTTATTTGAAGACCAGTTGAGTAACGAATGTAGATGAAAATGGAATTCTGCCGACGATCTACCAAATTACCTGTTTTGCTCTACATTAACCAGATTTATTATCAGAATCAAAGCTCGCCTTTTTAATTGGTCATTTTCATTTGAAATTCTCACTTCACCCAATCAAAATTCGTAATGTTTGTCACGTGCGATAACACTTTACAGTGCGCAAAGTTTGTGACTCCAAAAATGCAATTTTTGACCCAATCAACACGTGCTTAAGCCCTGACGCGTTTTTATCCAAAGGCTGTGAGGGATAAGCTTGACCAACCCATGATGGCGGCTGGTCGCATGCAATCAGAACTGTATTAAGCCATGCACAATTGTTCCTCGTTATTTTTTAGTTCGAATATGTAGAAATTCCTTAAAAGTTTCGGCCTTATGGCTACTGGCGGTTGAATCGCGTTATATAAACACCCTGACTGTGAGTCGCTTTCTTGTGTTCTAATAAAGGGCAGATGCATCCTTGCCAGTGCGTTTTATCACGCGTATATACAGAAAGGTGGTCGCGTGCTGGCCAGAAAACGGGGGTAATGTATCACATGTCATATCAACACTGATTAAGGCTTTTAAAGAAGCTTAAATCATATGCAAGCCTTTACTTCATGTATGCATCACTGAATCACTATTACGCAGCTTCGTTGACATAGAGTCGTTGTTCTTGCGTTTTTCTGTGGGCTTTTTGTATCTTAATGGAAGGCCGCAAGTGAGGCTTGATTTGCCGATATGCAACGGGATATGGATCACAACTATCGTTATTATTATCAGAATTACCCGGATCATATGGTAAGTGCGAATGTCTGGCCGTGAGATGTGGTTGCGCGCGGCAGATCGCGTGTTTCGATAAACGCGTTATATTTTCCTTTGTGCGTGGCAGAGTGCCTGTTACCTTTTGATTCGTATAAGAGATTCTGCAATGAACGGGAGGCGAAATGCATTGTAGTTTGATCTGCCCCGAAGAAGCATTTGCAAGTGTGCGTGGTTTCTAGGCTGTCTTTACGTAGCTGTTGATCGCGCGTTTTCAGCCACGAGGCGCGTATTGACTAGCACTGTGGAACTTTGAAATGGCTCCGATATCTGCCTAACCGCGCCTTGTGGCTCAGTTAATTACGGACCGCATTGCTCCGTAAACACGTTAATGCATTGAAATTTGATTTGCCGCGAAAAAAACTTTGGTAGAATATGTTTTGGCTAGCTTTGTTTGGGCGCGCGTCTTTTACCACGAGGCGCGAATTGAAATGCGCGTTCATGATCGGCTTTGTTTGAGAGCGTCATTGTTTTGTTATAAATGTGCAACTCCGTGTTATTCTCTGGGTATTTCTCCTATTAAAAACTACTTGGCAACCGCACGCTGCGTCCTAATTTGCTGCAACGTTTTAGGTTTGATGACGGCTTGAAATTCTTGACTATGTCTCGACTTGAAATTCTAAAACCTAGCCTTTTTGGGGCCAAACCTCCCTCTTAGAAAGAACCCTATTTTGAACAGACTCATGAATAAATCGCTTATGTATTGCCACACATTTACGGTTTCACACTACTGATTTAACACACACGTCCTTAAAGTTTTCATTTTCCTCTTGAAATTCTATTTCTCTAATAGAAATATTTATAGTTGCCTGTATATCTGTTGGGGTTTTGACAAGAAATGCGAATCCATCGAAAGGGTGCAATATCCGCCTGACCGACCAACCTTTTTCTCCGATTATCGTTGACCTTTTTTTTAAGTTGTCCTCGTCAATCTTTATTCATTAATTCATTGATTCATGCCCAACTTGTATGCCAAATGTGTTTGGTTATGATACTGTAAACAATTTGTAAGTATGATTTTGATTATGAACTAGCAACAGTGTAGAGCAAGGTTATCGAATTTTGCTGTTCAAAATGCTGGTGAATTAGTCATATTGCCTTTCTTGTTTAAATCGTTACAATAATTGTGCTTTCTTTCAATCTGTTCTCAGGTTTCTGATATATGGAAACTGGAGGATGAAATCCAGGGACAGCCGCCTTCCCGCCCCCCGGCGCCTAGAAATTACATCATTGACTCCACTCGTGATAGCCGCAGCCGTGGTCAGATGGTTGCTAACAGTTCATATAGACCTGGGCCAGAATTTGCAGAGGTGAAGAGAGTTTCAAGACCCCCGCCACGTGGACCTGTGGAGGAACCTGTCTCTATTCCACGTTATGAAGACCGAGTAGAGAGTGTACCGAATGGATACAGTGATAACAGTTCTAGACCGCCTCCCCCACGGGATTATCGTCCATCTTCCGATCGATATGATGACAGACCCCCGCCTTCACAATATCGTCCTCCACCCCCAAGAAATGAGCGGCCCCCACCCCAAAGTCACAGAGACCCACCGCCCCATCGAGATGAACGCCCCCCACCCTCACAAAGCTACGGCTACCAGCCTACGAGAGACGAACGCCCAGCACCCCAAAGCTACAGGGAACCTCCCCCAAGAGACGAACGCCCAGCACCCCAAAGCTACAGGGAACCTCCCCCAAGAGACGAACGCCCAGCTCCACAAAGCTACAGGGAACCTCCCCAAAGAGACGAGAGACCCCCTTCGCAGACTCGTAGGGAACCACCGCCTGTACGCGAAAAGCCACCTCCGTCGTACCAAAGCTTCACCGCGCGTCAGCAACAGCCAACTCGACGTGACGAACCAAAAAGAGACGAACCGTACCGTGATTATAGTACCGGCCCGTTGAAACCGAGCAATTTGCGAGACCGCCCAACTCGTGACCAGGAAGATGGCTCGGAAGGAAGAGGGCCTAGGTAATATTTGGTGCTTCCTTTGAAAATATCATTCTAAAAGACTTTCCGTGCATTTATAACATGGAAAACAGTCTGTCAAAAGTTGACAAAAAGGTTTTTTAACACAATACTCAAACTTAGAAAAACATAAGTTTATACTTCATAGGTAAAGGGTGAGATATTTTTTCTGTCAATTTTAAACTATTTTTCATGTTGCAATGATTCAAAAAATATCTGGTAAAAATTTTGTTTAGATATCTTTTACAATTTTGGAGACAATTTCACTTACACAAGAAACGTCGAATTGACAACTTTCAATTTGTCAAAATTTATTGTCTAGCTTGGCACAACTAAGATTTTACCAAAAACATTTAAAACTCACAACAGCTAGATGTTAAATTTATCTTTGCCTATGACATGCATACGTTTCAAGTCAAATTCCAACTTGCAATAATTTCCAACAGTTCATACTTTAAATGTATTCTATTTTCCCCCGAAAAGGTTTCTTGTTGTGCTTGACGTCGCATTATGATATTTTTCTATGTTGTGGTTATGTCATTTTCACAGAGTTTTTAACAAAAAAATATTGTAATGTATGTTTCTAGGCCCAAATAATGGGGGATGGCAATAGGCCAAAATTTCTAATTTTTCGCCCGGTTTTTCTAGAGATGGACAGTACTTAGACGAGCCGAAGGTGATCGCAACTGCGCGCGGTATCTTCGACCACCGTGGAGGCCTACTGGAATCCACAGAGACGGGGGTTAGTGTTTATGTTCCTGCTGGAGCATTACCGGAGGGAAAGAAGCAGGAGATCTACTTCAAAGTCTGCCAGGATAACAAGTACATACCCCCGCTCGATTCGGATGGAGGTAATCTCACATTTTTGTTTATCCCATGATGACAATTATGTCAGGATTTGCTTGCATTTGTGGTTAAAAAGAGGCGTTATAAGAATAGTTTTTTTTTAATTTTTGAATACAATTTGGCGTCATGAATATATTTTCTGTAGTATAATTGCCTTTGAATCAAAAACTTATAAGAGCACAGTTTAATGCTTGTAGATAGGTAAATTAGTTTAATAAATGCAAAATGAATTTATTTATGGAGAAAGGTAGATTTAATTTCTGCTAACGGATTACTGTTATTGGTAAAAATTCACATGTTAAGACTTCAAAGATACTGCCGTTAGTCCCCCCGTTTATATAACTTTATCCTTTGGGAGACTCGTGGTTCTTCTTCCCTTTTTTGGTGTTTCTCCAGAGAATATACAAAAAGGTACCGAAACATCATGACAATTTAAATTTAAATTCCATTTTCAAAGGGTAAAGTGAATGAACCGGGGTTAAAAAGCCGGTTCTACAAATCATCTTCAGTTTACTGCGATCCCGGTATGACCGCGCGTGCTGTGGTGATAACTAATAAAAGAGAGGCTCTTGCGCAAGCTTTGGTTCTCGCGTTTTGATTGGATGATTATCAAATCTATTTTTAGCAAGCCGGAAAGGCTCTGAGATCTCCATTTTTATCTCAGGTCATCCATTTTAAACCTTTTATTTCAACTGGTTTTCTTTTCAGCAAAGATTTTCCTCCCAAGTCTTTTACGATACAATTCAATTTAACACACCATTCGTTCAACACCGCCTTCCTTTCCCTCGCAGGTGAAACGTTACTCAGCCCATTGGTGATGTGCGGACCGCATGGTTTGAAATTCAAGAAGCCCATCGAGCTTCGTTTGCCGCACAAAGGCAACAGCGCCGATGGCATGCAGTTCTCTCTGAAGTCATCCGAAAGTCCGGTCGGTGAGTTCCATTTGGTTCTTGCTCCTCTGTCTTGGGATTTGGTTGTTGAAAAACCGGTGTGTCATGGGATTTAGATGTTTGAAAACCGTCTGTCATTGGATTTGGTTGTTTAAAAAACCGGTGTGACATGGGATTTGGATGTTTAAAAACCGGTCTTTCTTGGGATTTGGGTGTTTTAAAACCGGTTTTTCATTGGATTCGAATGTTTTAAACCGATCATTCACGAAATTTGGCTGTTTCAAAACCGTTCTGGCGTGGATTTTTTTTGTTTTAAAACCGGTCCGTTGCGTTGGTTGAGTGTTTTATAACTTATCAGTTGCTCCAACAAGCATACCCCCATTCAAATGCCCGCATGTTAACCTTGTTATTCTTGATATTGTTGCTTAGTCATGTATCCCCTGTTCTTTTCACATCATTGCATCCCTGTGTTCTCTATGCATGCTGTTAAATTTCTGTAACTAATCTGTGTTATCAATAAGATCTTGACGCTACGCAGTCTCCTCCACAGGGGATCCATCCAAGTGGAAGAACGTGCAGCTTGGTGGGCGCGATTTGGATGCCAGCCGCGCTTATCAAGTCACTGACGACACCGTCTCTGTTCTTGTTGATCATTTCTAAATAAGGGTAAGTACGTGTCACGTGACTATCATCCAGCTGTAGATTGGTCGTTCTGATATCCAATCAAACTCCTAGCATCTTTACGTAGCTTAGGATAAAATGCTGCATGAAAAGTCGTATTTTCTTTTTCTCCATTTGACACGGGTGGGTGTGTGAAATGTAAAGGAACGCGCAATGGGCTCAATCAACCCTTCCACTTTTTCTTTCCCCTCCCACTCTCACCCTTTCCCCCTCCTTTCTCCCTCTCTCAATGACAATGCAATTGAGGGCATGATGAGCGTGGCTTCCCATTGACCAAAACAAATAACTGTACAATCGAACTACAAAAATTTTGTTTCCGTCTCTTCAGCCCCCCTCCCTTGGTTATGCCCACCCTTTAATCAGAGAGTTTTTATATGACTACTGTACTTTCTTTCGCCCCCACCACCACCCATCCATTTCGATGTTCATTCAAAAGAGATTGAAAACTATTATTCGTGGAAAGTTTTGACTTACATCATCTGTTTTTCTTCCATTGCAGGTTGCTTCAATAATTTGTATCTTTGAGCAAGTTTCATCCGAGGTAATTAGACACTTGGATTTTCGTATAATAAACAATGGACATTTTCGTATTTTTGTCTCCAGTTAGTTTAACTTTAGAACCACACGCTCATCCCCCCCGTGCAGGTAAAGCCGACCACTGTTATTTTCAATGCGATTTGCAAAACGCGTTTCCAATCAACGTAATTGTAAGACGGGGGCACCTTTAGCTTGTATGAAAAAGATTGAGTTTTTCTGGAAATGGAAGTTGTTCCGCTATTTTTCTTTTGTGAAGTTCCGTTGCAACTTTCACCTTGAATGCTTGCATCCTTCAAAAAACCTGGTGACCCCCCTTGACGGGTTGTCAACACCCCACAGTCACCTAACACCCTCAGACCTACGTGTAGAGCTGTTAGCTCAGATACACGTCAACCCCCTTCCCTCCCTCCCTCAAAAACTCCCTCACCTCAACAGCCCCTTATTATGTAATATCTTTTTTGCCGCCCATACATTTTTCCCATGGCTCTCTCCACAGAGAACTTTAACCTTCCATCTGATTTATGATCTTCCAATCCGCTATAGATCGGCTCTACCCTGCATCCCTTTTCGACATCCGGGAACTTTTGTCACTGGTCTTGCCCCTAAAGGTCATTCCCTGCGTCATGGACAATGCACAATAGACGCTTCCCAAGGGCGTGTGGTTCATGGGTTTTATCGTAATCAGTATGAATCTCAATTTTCTTGATGGTATTTGAACCTTAGATGTAATTTGATAGTTTTACTTCAAATATCCAATAAGATATTTATATATCGTTTTTAGAGATTTGTAATCATGTTTTGGCTTTCGCATTGATCTACATGCGCGGGTTTCCCGCGATTTTCTGCATTAATAGGCTTGCACTTGGGATTTCCTGCTCGATATAAAACGCCTTGTATTGTTGCTGTAGTTGTTATGGGTTAACCTATTAGTGTTGCTTTGGGTAACTTTGCTAATGTTGCTATAGGCTACCACCACGTGTTTGTTGCCACGGGGTACCGTGTAAATCAACGTTGTCTCTTGAGGATCAGTTTTCCTCTTGGCTGTTTATTTTATTTGTTAATTAAGCAAACATTTTCCCTTGTCGTAGTTTTTCTACTAGGGGTATTCAGGACCGGGTTTTTTAAACAAGGATCCGGTACCTTTCAACCTAATTTTTGAAACCGGAATGTTCTGCTGATATTCGCTTTAAAAGCTTCTCCACACTAACAGCTTCTCCGCTTTTAAAGCTAAACCATTTGTTTTTAAGTCAGCAAAGTTCGTTAACCCAGAGATGTGAATGTGGCAATCTTCTCTAACGTGTAATTTTGTTATCGTGATACTTAATCTTGTAGTATTTTACTGTGAAGTTTGTTGCACAGTAGACAGCACTCCTTATTTGGATATAATTAACAACATACATTGTTATCAAGCACTCCTTATATGGTTCTTTTTGTCTCCGTCTTTCTCTCATTGATCGGTGGCTCGATGCTTTATGCTTTGATTGGTTCTCTAGTGCCATGAAGCTGTGAAAGTATTTAAGGACTAGGCTCTTCAGCTTTATTCCCAAATAACGCAATCTGATGCGGGTTTAGGAGTGAAACAAGATGTTTATCGTGCGTTTTCTTCTCCGTTACAAGGGGAGTAGGCTTGCCTATGAATAAACTTTCATTCCATTCATGTTTCCATTTCTTTTTCAATTATTTAAACATGGTAGCCCGTTCAGCAATGCTCGTTTACAAGGGCCATGCATCTAAACTAAAATAAACATTAACATAAAATAGACTGAAGTAAATAGTTGCAATAGATCTAAACATCTAAACATGACAAGATATGCTATACACCTCCTTCTAACCCATTCTACCCTCGCAATTAATACTCTTTTACATTATTTTAAATTCTATTTCCCTTGATGTGTCAAATTTACAATGTAAATATACAATACTTAAAAACCTGAAGTACGATACTAAAACAGAAAGGAGCAAAACCAAAAATTTTAGAGCAAAGTTTAAAATTTTCCAAGAGATGTTGTCTTCTTAGCTTCGGGACTTTCTATTGTTCTTCCGTGAAAGAAAGATGAACTGGGATCGAGCGGTGTCATCTAAGACGCGCTACATTATAAAGAGGAAGAACAAAGATAACGTACCCTGCACATTATGTGTGTTCTTTAATGTAATGTTGTGATTTATGCACATATTAATTTTACATTGCATAAATTAGAATAATTAACTAATTAAAGAACCATGCTGTAAGAATACACCCTACTAAACTTGCATTCTCTTGTGCACTACCTGCGACACATAATATTTAGTTGCACTGAAAACTTGCTAAATACAAGGTTGCTTTTTACTACGCACGTAAACAGATATATACAACATTGATTGATGGCCTATTACAGTATGATAAGATCTGATCGCTTATTACATTGATACCACGTGATGTGAACTGTGATTATAAACACGTGCTCTATTATAATCAGTATTCGCGAGGGAGATACATGTGGGCACGGGACAGTTTTCATCGGGGACGGTTCTCAATGGAAACGGTTTTCACCGGGGACGATTTCAATCGAGGAAGTTTTCACCGGGGACGAATCTCACCTGAGACGGATCTCACAAGGGACGGGTTTAATCGGGTATGGATCCCACTCGGCTTTCACTCGGGACAGTTATCACCTGGGACAGTTATCAACGGGGACGGTATTTAAGTGGGGAATGAAGGCTTTTCTCCGGGAATTTTTAATCAGGAATGGTTTCAACCAGTTTTCACTGGGCTTGTTACACTGGACTGTGCAGAAGTGGTCCGAATTGCCTTCATAGACCAGGCGGAAATGGCAGGGGGTACTACTTCCGGGCGGGGAAGTTTTGATTATCGGTTTCGAGTTCTTTGGCAACTGGGAATATTGAATTGCGATGGTAGATGGCGAATTGTTGCATTTTTGGGGGTTTAATGTGGGTTATATCAAGAGAAGTTCCTGCTTATCCTCCGAGAAGGAAAACGTGGCTTGAATAACGTTTTTAATACAGTAGGTCTTGTTTAAACAGTGAAATGTGCAAGATATTTTTATTTTTTCCTTGAAGAAATGCGTTTTAAGTAGTGAAATAGTTTTAATTAATCACGTGACGTCACATTACCCCGTGTCCTTATGTCGTTATCTTATTAGAAACTAATTGCTTTGTCTTCAGCCAGCCTTATCTTCTCACCCATATAAGCGATTACTTCTGTGACGATCTCTAATAAAACATCTTTCGATTGCTCCAATGACATCATTTTTTCAGCTCCAAATGAAGGCCGCGAGTTGTCACGTCGTGGTCACCAATGTAAAATAACTTATTTTACAGGGCAGGTAAAGCTCATAAACCAGACCCCAGTTCGCAATAACGTTTTTAAAAAACCAAGATTCTTCAATAGCGATCGTATAATTAGCAACAGGCTACAATTACAAAATAACAACTTCGTTCAACGATAACTTCAACTAGCCTGGACTTACACCGAAAAAACATACGCTTTTAACAACACGAGTGACGCACATTAAACCCTAATGACACAAATTAACGGCAAATGACTAAAAACAACTAAAATAGAGATGGCACGATGACAAACAAAATGGACTGACGCAAACATCAAAAGACATTATCATTAACAATAACGAACCACAAACGCGATGCACGACAGACTAAACTAGTTGTATATAGCAGATTCTCAACGGCAGGCTAGCTTCATTTCAGAGAAATACACTCCTCCAAATTCATTATTTGCATCGTACCAAGTCATGTGACTCATTCCCTGCTGCGTGTATGGTACTGGTGGAAACTGTCCGTTTAGATTTGCCCTTTGGCATGTTTTGAACCACCAGCCAGAACTCCGCTTTTCAGCGCAATGGTAACTGGATGCATCGTTGTCTTGGTCAAATGTAGAGAACTTCATTGTGTTGTGAGGCTTAAGGGAATCACCTACATTTCCGGTAAAAGAACCAGTGTTAAGGCGATACCCTGCAGCCTCGTTTGATACGCTAAAGTCGGCATACTGAGCATAGAACAACTTGGACGGATCGCTAACGTGCCTAAATTCGACACGCAATGTTGCTCCTTGTTCGGAGGCTGTTAGTAAATGTAGATTTTCAAGCCCAAGCCAGAAATTACCGGTGACATCCCCAAATCCCTGTTTATACGCGTTCCAGTTGCGGTTGAAGTCCACAGAATTGTCAATGCGACGCTGGAACACAAGCCATGGCGGGCCTGGAAAATACCTTTTGCAGAATCCGGGTGGGAGTGCCTCTGTCAGGTTTTGTAACGTAAGTCTTCTCCAAAATTCATTAAATAACATTGTATCTAGAAGACATGAACATGTTAAGTTATTTAGCTTGGGAAATGAAATGCTGGCGATGTAGAATGGCGGAGTGATGACAGTGGCGGAAATTGCGGGGGTGTGGGGGGGGCATGGCCCCTCCCCCAATTGAAAAATGATTTTCCGCCACTGAGTGATGACGTCATTAAAATCTATTTTTAGAACTTTTAAAAAATTTTTATCTCTTCTTATCTTTCAGAAAATATCATTTAATTTCGATTTTCTGTAGGCATCTTAAAAATGAGCTTACTTCAGGCATAATTTTTTAACAGGTTTTGAGGAATGTGGTCATGATTACGGCACTACAATCAGAATTTCATATGAATCACTTCGAAATTCAATACAACTATACCAGCAATGAAAATGGAAGTCACATGACTACACAGATCATCCTCATAATGTTTTGTATTCATGCAAACGCTATCGCCCCCCTCTACGGCGTCCTTGCTTTCAGGTGCTCGCAAGTTGTCGACCACCCTCGTTCTTTCTTTTATACTACACACTTTTTTGCTGTATAAACCATATTGTTTAACAGCTTTTTGGTTCAAATCTACCAAACTGTTAAGCATTGAAATAGTACCCTAAAAATATGATAGATATTGCGGAGTAATCAAACTCCGGGGAGCATCTGCTTTGACAAGCATTTTCAAGGTATTCTTTGTAATTCCGAAATTTCGTACGGTAAAAGAAGGAAAACATTCAGTAAGATACTTTGGCCCATATCTGTGGAGCAAATTGAAGAGAGCTATCAAGGAGGTGACAACAATAACCCAATTCAGAAATGGACTTAGAAACTCTTTTAGACTGTAGACTTTAGTTTAGTTGTACATAGGATTTTTAGAAATTTTTATGTTTTAATAATTATACTGTAATTTCATATTTTATGCTCTAATTTAACTTTATATACTTTTTTCGTTGTGTCCCCAATTAGCTTGTAAGCTAAATATTTTTTGACACATTAATAAAGTTTTTGATTGATTGATTGATTGATTGATTGATTGATTGGTATTCGAAAGCAAAATGGATGTGCTGACGAGGCAACCATGTGTATTAAGGCGAATGTCGTAACAAAACATGTGTAGACTGAAAAATAATCGGTACGCGATTCAACTGTGTTGTCAGCGTGTATTGTTTTTCTAATGTAATACTGTTTACATGTAAATTGCATTCGGAAAGCATCATGGTTACTTTGAAAATGTTTTATGCATGTAATGATAAGCGATGTTTATTCAATTAGCGTGTACTGTGTTACAAACAGGGGAAGCTAGTAAGAATTGTAGATGTAAGAAGGGGTAAAGCAAGGGTGTATGTTAGGCCCACGAATATATATATTGATATATTTATCGTATCATATTTGTACACGAAAACCCTATCAGCTACTAGTTTTTAACCTAAACGAAATTGTTCATATTTGCATCTAATGGTAAAAAAGCAAAAAAGAGAGACTAGAACAGTATGGTCTGCCTGGGGATCGTGCTTCGGGAAGGATGCCAATTTTCTTGGAAATCCTTCAGTTTCCTTTGGAATGTAGTGATTGTGGGACTTGTTCTGCAAATAACTTGGGGTCCTTTCAGAATTCAAAAAATGCCGTAACCTTCCTCCGGATGGAAATTTGTCCTTTTTTACTTTCTCGATATTTTCCTTGCAACTTTTGAATAAATTTCTTCATCTACATTTTGGCTATGACGCTTTCTCATTAGGACAGAAAAGTTGAAGCACAGCAATAATTTTCTCTCACTTTATATACTCTTGTCAAATCATGCATTGCTTTTCTCAAAATTTCTGCATCGTGGATAACCTTCATCGGCGCACTGCCATAGTACCATAACTAAATGGTCTTCTGGTTGCTGGCTCAAATTACAGGTACGGCATAGATCCAGGGTTGAATAGGAATACCCCCCCCCCCCCCCCCCCCTTCCGAAAACATAGTGGAGAACAGAATGGATGCATAAAATCACATTTTTTATGAAACCATTTATAAGAACCAAGAACAAAACATTGAGATGGAAAAAAAGCCAGTAGACCATTGTACTGATTACTTGTAGCCCAAAGAAACCGTTTTAAATGGAGATCTTTCATTTTAAATGTTAGGACCCGTATGACTGGGTATTCTTTGACGATTTGGCCACTATTCTCTGTTTAATTAGCTTAGTAAATTATTGAAGAGTGCCTTTTAACTTTTAAGGTGCTACAAAAATACATTTTTTGCGTTTGGAATTTAAGAAAACCTTAAGAAACTTCTAGCACTGAAATAAACAAAGTATTAAGAATTCACTTTTACAAAAAGAGTTCGTGATTTCTACAAAACGAAAAAATATCCAGGGATTTTCAGATAAAACACAAGGATTTCTATTAAAGATGTACAATAGTTTGAAAGAGCTAGATTCCCCAATCGCTAAACCAGAGTTATTTTCTTTTAGATAGTTAATAAACATACCATTTCTTTCTTTGACATAAACAGATGTAAACGCCTTTTCTTCTTCTTTGGTTAGCCGTGAATCCAGTTTACTGAACTTCTTATCAGTTTTCGCTTTGACAATAATTTGACAGCTCTTCTCACGGTCACACGCAAAGAACGAACTGTCTATAACGAAATCATCAGATTCACTGTTTGTCATCGAACTGGCGGTGCCAACTGACTGGAAAATACTGCCTGTGCTTACATATTGCGTGAAAGCTTTCCCGGCAATCGCCAAGAACATCAAAAGACGGAGTTCCATGACTTTCTCCACCCTTGTTTGATTTATCGACGGATTCAAAACGGCTCGTGGTCATATAAGCAATTTTTTCTTGACCTCTCCGCTGTAATCTAATGCAACAAAGTATCCATTCTAATGCTACTTTGTAAGTTTTCATTAAAATTTATGCTTAGACCTTTTGCTTGTTGCTTACCAACCAATAGGACAAGCACGCCTCAACATTGTCTTACAAATATTTTCATCCACCATGAAAGGCACTTAAGGCCTAGTTTATACTGCATACTATCACCGCAGCGAATGAAATTACATAAAATTCGTCAGTAATGCGACAAAATTAACTAAAAATTTTGTTTGTAATTTATACTACGTATTATCTCCGAAGCGAATTAATTTCGAGTCGTAGCTGCGGTGGAGCGATTAATTTGGTGCGAAAGTCGACTATCGTTTCCAAAATGGCGCCACGAAAGAAAGTCATGAAAATGTGCGAGAGCTTTAGAACCCTGAAACAGATTCGTAGGATGGAAAGCAGAAGAAAGTAAGTCGGTGAATTCATTGCCTTTATGTTGGAGAAGAGACAGAAGACAGAAACTTATCAATGTGGCGTTCATGACAGTTTTACCAGGGGCAGACTGGCTGGTCGGGCTATTCGGGAGATATGCAGTATAAACTGCGTATTATTCCCAGTTTATACTGCATATCATGATCAGGGCCGTCGCTAAGCACTTTCACTTAGGGGGGTGCCAGTCACCAATTTGCCGACAAATAAGGGCGTGGCCTAAGATATTTTAATATGGGGGTGCGGCATTTTGACGCAATTGATTTTGTTTATCAGAGAGGATGTTCTCATTAATCAATCATCGCTTCAATTTTCGAGTGACTGTGAGTACTTAGGTTTCGAAGGCCTTGAAACAAAACCGAAAGACGAGGTCCCCCTGCGGGCGGAGCGAGCAGGAAATTTTTGCGACCACGCCCTTTAGATTGTCTTGCATTTCAGAATATTTCTTGCAATCGTTTAGAACTTTTAACTATTTTTAGGCATAACTACGTTTCATTGATTTCATTCTTAAAATGGAGTTCATTACTACTTGAGGCCCCCTCGACCTCAAAGCCCTGAGGCATTTTGCCCCCTTGCTCCCCTCGGCAGCCCTGCTTACAGTGGCTTCCAGTACCTCTAGGATCAATGTTCAGAGTTTTTCAATTAACTTTGACCCTTCCTTAAACCCTAAATTTTAGGTAAAAATTAGTTCGCCCTGGATATTGGACATTAGATTCTAGACTCCGGCTGCCGAAAGGGAGTCATTTGAAGCTTTTGGGGGATATTTGCCCCTCCGTGACACCCATAGCGCTAACTTTACCCGTTTTGAATTGCTGAGGGCTTTTGGGCAATACTTTGAAGTTCACATCCTCATCTTATCCCAATTGTTCGCTAAAGCTATTGCTTTGGGAACATTGAAAGCAAAACCCGACAAAACTCTACTTTTAGAAAATGTGCCGACAATAATTTTGTAGGGGGGGGGGGTGCCCTGCGTATTATTGCCAGTTAATACTGCATATCATGATGAGCCTGCTCTATATAATCACAGTAAGAAATCCCTTTTGACATCACTAAAGAGCAGCTGGAACAAACACACATTTACTGACCCGGATTCATTTTGCTCCGGCTACGGTTTGCCCATATATAGTATATTTCATCTTTTTTTAAAAAACCAAACCGAGTTTTGCTTCTTCTTGGCTGAGACTCAATCTAGCCTTGCAAAACTATATTTGAAAAAACAAAGCTTGATTAAAAATCTTTCTGAGGCTTTGTATCAAAATTACCACGAGAAAATGATCATCAAATCACCTTATTATTATTTTATTATTAAGTCCTTTGTTTAAGTTTCAGCTAATCTGGATTAAAGCGATCTATCCGATCGTGCTCTGATGGCTAATCTGGTTTCAGTTTCAGCCTCGGATTGGCTGGGTTGGTATCACAAAGCAGGGGCGGATCCAGAGCAAATTTGAAGGAGGGGCAGCTGGTAATGGGGGCGCTGAAAATTTTTCAAAAATTGGTGACAAGAGTACGCTGTTTACAACAATTTCAGACCCATTTTCGGAATAAACAACATAACTTTCAGGTAATTCTTGAAGCAAATTAACTTATCGGTGTCAGAAACTTTATTACCTGATTCTCATTCTTCAAAAGGGGCGTACAATTTCAAAAAAAGGGCGCCAGACTTGCTTCAACTCGTCGAGGGAGGGGCAACTGCCCCAATGGCCCCCCCCCTTAAATCCGCCACTGTCATAAAGACAAGCCTGCAGAAACATTCGTGTTTCAGCTTCGTCGTGACTGCAGTGGATAATCTTTCAAGCCTCATCTCTGGTTCTCCTCTTTGTTGTCTCTTCTTCTACAAATATCAATTGTGTCTTCAAATTCTTTCAATTTCTGCATTACGGTAGAATCTGCTTGCTACTAAATCACTAATGTGTGGTTTAAAAACGACAACAAGTTAGTCCCTTTCACCTCAAGAACTTCAATATCAACTCTCCTCTGGTTCCCCACGATGACTTCTGGTGCCACTTTTCACACATTAATGGGTAACTCGTCACTGAACAATGATATCAATGAACAAGATAAGCATCTTATCTTTTGGTTCAGTGTTTTTTAAAAGGGATAGAGATCATGGCCTATACTTTTGCTTTTAGTGAGTTGATGGCTGCAATACCATCAACGATCCACCTACAATGATTTGGAATTGTAAAAACTACGGAATGCGATTTTGCTTTTAGATGGTTTCTGAGAAGATGTTTACTTGAATGTCGTAGAGTAGAATCAGGTCTTGATATACTTAGAGAGACTGCAGTTTCAAGCGTGATGAAAATCAGATCACCCATATTATAAATGATTGTGAAAACTATTAAAAGTGCCCGCCCATTCTATCCCCTGCCATAGTGGACAATTGTCAAATGTTTCATACATACGGTCTGCATTACATATTTAAGACTCTTATTTAAATTCACTCCTTAAAACACATTTATAAATTTTAAAAGGCATATTAATATGGACAAGTTCGTTTCATATATATAACGGGACCGGGAAGTGATTCTGCTTAGGGTATGTTTTAACGTACTGACTGGTGGGACATTATTCCCACTAAGCCCTTTTGCTGGTCTTGAAACATTTTTACCTTGAAACATTTTAGCTGTACAGCAGAAGAAGCCATGACCAACAATTGGCCTAATATGCGGGGAAAGAAGGATGATACATCTACTTCTTTAGAAGGTTGCTGTTGGTACAAGGGTAACAGATTTGAGATTAACTGGCTTAAGATTTGTGATTAACTGATTGTTTTCGTCAATTTATTCAGTAGTTATTGAATTTGAATTTACAACAGCACACAGCTTCGTAAAGATCATGAAATAATTTTATATGGTGCATTTTAGGCATGGTTTTACATTTTAGGCATGGTTCTTGGGTCGCAAAAGTATGGAGAAGGTAGGTCAAAATGGCGGCTTACAGTGACCATGGGCCTAAGCTGACCAATTTCAAAATCAAAATTATGAGGTGAAGGGACTTGTAAACGATATGTTAAGGCGAGAAAATGCATTCGCCATTCCTTCGACTTTTGGTTTAAAGAAAATTTAATGATTGGTTTGCTGTTTTGAGGAGAAAAATTCAGCAAAACTTTGAAGCATTGCTTCAAAACAATTCTGTAAAAGATTCCCGAGTATTCATGAAAGTTGACCACGAAGTGTCACTTTATTAAAGAAACGTGAACGAAAAATGTTGAAATTTGAAGCAAACTGCTTAAGACTTCTTTCGCATAAAAAATTATAACTTGGAAGGTTTGTTAGCAGTGCCCTTTAATTTTAAAGTTTCAATACTGACACAAGGTGAGTTGCTCTACATTTGATGTCAATGACTTGTTTATCCTAAATTCTGATTTACTCATTAGCTAAGCACATGACAATAAAAAAATTAAGCGAAACATTTAATGTCTATTCTGCTTTTAAAATTAAAATTAAAATTAAGAATCATCTACATCCAAAGCGGCTATGTTATTTATCAAGAAAACTATTTTGATCACTAAATGACAGCTTTAGAAATTGTTCACCTGATATCACTTTTAATAACCTAAAGGCTGATATCTCGGCCAAAATGATCTTCTCGGTAATATGTTTAAAGTCAGAATAAAGGTGCATGTATTTAGTTTCAAGTTTAATTAAATTATCTTATACTTATTAAGTATTGTCTGAGCTTTGTGACATTTGTTTTTGAATCCTTCGAAAATATTTTCCAGAAATTTTCTGAAGCACCGGTCCAACGTTTGACTTTTCACCCACAAAAAGTAATCTTTCAAATATATTTTAATACAAAAACCATTGCAATTGCGCAAAAAATTCCGCGGCGAAATCGTTCGTTACAAAAACCCTTAGCGGTGAACTTCTGTTTTAAAAACTTGTCGGATTAGGCCCTTTGCTTCTGTGAGCCGCCATTTTGAGCAACGTTTCAACCAAGTTTGAAAGTTTGAAAACTGTACTTAGCAAAACAGTGGTTCCCAATGCATTGAAGGGGGAGGGGAGATACTGTATAAACTCAAACAAATGCTTACAAAATACAGAGGTTAGTGCATGAATTGAAACAAAGTTTCTGAAACATAGAGGCTACTGTAAGAATCGAAACAAATGCTCTTTAAACATAAAGGCTATACAGGAATTGAAACAACGGTTCACGAAGTACAGAGGCTAATGTAGGAATTGAAACAAAGGTTCGCGAAATACAGAGGCTAATAGAGAAATTGAAACAAACGTTTCCGAAACATAAAGGCTAATACAGAAATTGAAACACCGGTTCACGAAATACAGAGGCTAATGCAGGAATTGAAACAAACCTTCCTGAAACATAAAGACTAATGCAAGAATCGAAACAAAGGTTCGCGAAATACAGAGGCAAATGCAGGAATTGAAACAAACCTTTCTGAAACATAAAGTTTCAATACTTGAAACTCTATAAACAGACAGAGACAAAGTCACAAGAGCTTGCCATTGACTACGACCTCGCAGAGGTTCAAAATGCTATTCGGTTTGTTGAGCTCAAGAAACAAGAATCTTCCGACTGGAAAACTTTGTAGATCAACAACGATCTTGAAATCTGGCGCCTGTGTTTCCAATTTGTTAACAAAGTACAAGGGATTCCCACCAGCCTCTTCTTTGTTGCCTATTCTTATATCCATATCTGTCAATCTATCATGGCAGCAGTCGGCACGGTGGTAGATGATTACCCTCCATATAGCAGCTGGCCGTCCAAAATCTACCCACCAAGCCACGCCTCCTATGTTAAGCGTGTGTGTGCACGCGAAGTAACCCCCTTCTTCATCCCATGTACGGTTAACCAAAAGTCCATCGACCGCAAAAGAGCTTTCATATGATCGTCCCTTGAAACTCCACGTCGTGCCCTGATTGGTTCTTTTCCCCAATGCGATGTTTGCTTCCGCTGTAAGAGAGAAACGATGGATGAAAACATTTTGCTCAAGAGGAGAGGATAATCTTGAAGGCTGTTGATGGAGAGAGGTGGCCTAGGCTGCACACCGTTTAACCTGAAGGAACTGTGAGGTGTCTGTGAGTTACCTTCGGTTAGCGGTCTGAAGCACAGGTTGAGAGAAAGGGTGCTTTTGGTGAACAAAGGGTGCCTCGGAAGGAAAGAGTGTACTTTGGGAGAGTAATGCTGCATTTTAAGGGGGAGAGTATGCTTTGGGGGACATAATTGGGAATGCTTTAGAAAAAAGAAGCCGCTTTGAAGGGAGCGTTTGATAGGAGAGTAAATCTTGTTTGCAAAGAATCTAAAATAATGACACTGAGAAGCTTATGCTTATGGAGCAATGTCCTGGTCCTCCCTCTCAATGTGACCACACCTCGTGATTCCTACGCCTGGAATTACAGAGAGCTGGCGACTCTCCTCTATCTGGGTCAAAGTTTGGTCATGCCAGGGACTCGAACCACGGACCCTTAGGTCTTCAGATAGCGACTCTAGCCTAGGCACTGAGCCATCGTCGTTTATTAAAAGGCCCTTTATCAAGCTGGGTGAAGGGGTGAAGAGGTGATTTCTTGCCGACAAAAAGGGCGTGTCTCACACTTTAAGGGTGTGGTCAAAATATAGATACACTGATGTGCTATTTTATGCCTTTCTGTTTAAAAGTTTATACTCTATTGCCATACTTGAAAATTCACCAACACACAAATGTGAACGTGTTGCAATTGTTGCAAAAAGGTTCCAGAGTGAGTAAAAATTCCATCCTTTGCCGGGCAAAATCCTTAATGTGCCGACAAACAAAATGTTGGGATGTACCGCATCCCCTCGTACCCCCTCTTTGGTGACGCCCCTGATCTGGATCCCGACAGAGAAAGGATTTCTGATGACGATGTTAGTCAGCAAGGATTAACCATAGCGGGGATTTGTGACAAAATGCTCTTCCTTGGACAACACCGTTTATAATAAACACCCTTTGATTGGTCAGGCTTAAAAAAGTTCTTGAAGAGAAGATGTAACTAAAGAAAGGAGTTCTGTTGGATGTCAGATTTTTCCTCTTTGTAGCTTTTTCATATGACATGCTATCATATCCTTTAATACGATAATGCACCTTGTGATATTTTTCGGTTTAAATTGGTAACATATGCCACCAAATGATATCGTATGTTACACTATAATATCATACTTAACCGTGTCATATTTCATGATACTATTTGGTATTATATTCTAAAAATTTCATGGTCAATTGGCGGAACCATAGAAAGCATTTCAAACGATCTATGGAATATGGCGCAATATACTTTAGTATCATAAATCTTCCATAAACGCTAGTTTTAATCGGTCCCCTTGATTGAATATCAATATTATAGAATATATGTTAATGAAGAATATTTAAAAACTCACCTTCTTCCCTTCCTTTTTCGTATACTTCCGAAAACGTCCCTAAGCTGGCTTTGTCTGGTTCTTTGACAACAGATTGGATGGTGCTTGGTGTGTCTTTGGCTTTCACAAGATATCTGCAATCCTTGACATTGTCACAACTGAAAAACGCCGCAGACAACGCTTCTTCGTTGCCATTATCTTCGCGCGGTAAAACCTGACGGAAGAAGCTCCCAGTCGTCACTGTTGCACAATCAACAGTACAAAATATTGCGAGCAAAATATACATAAAAATGTTCATGTTCTGCATGTTTCTTCTTGTTTGCCTGCGAAATCAAACTGTGGGTATTGGCTGCGACACGCGTACTTGCGCGATGTACAGCCCGCTTTCAAGAGGTATTGAATGTCTGCGTGCGTCATTTGTCACCATGTACATTTGTATACTGCTGGGAATGGTGAATGGGACATGCCCACCATGAATTCCATATTGAAAATGCAGTTAAAATGATTTAATACAAATAACGTGTGAGTAAACATGTTTACATACACCAACTTTTTTTGTTTTAAATTAATTCCAGAATGAGAGAATTTTAAGAAAATCACAACAAACGAGCTGTCATAGAAAATTGTTGTTTACATAAAGTTAAGTTTGTAAAAGTAGGGACATATCGAATATAATCCAAGATAAAACGGGCCAATGGAATTATTCCTTCAAAGATGTTTTTACAGTCACCTGTGTTTACCGATTTACTGCAAGTGAATAAAAACACCGACAAGATTACCGGTTTAGTGTATTTAGTATGTAACCTACAATTCTGTTTACTTGTATGCATACAAACTTTTTCGTCTTTCAGGGGCTTGAAAAGCAAAGCATATTCAAAATTTTACCATATTTGTTGTTTAACTTCCATATTAACATATGGTGTTCCTAAATTATCATACCTGCTCTTCCCTTTAACATATGGTGTTCCTCAAGGATCAAATCTGTCTCTTTAACATATGGTGTTCCTTAAGGATCAAATCTGTCTCTTTAACATATGGTGTTCCTCAAGGATCATAACTGTCAGATTTGAGCATCTGTTGTTTATTGTGACAAGATGCCTCAGGGATGGGGATACTGCCTCGAATGTTGTCACAAAAAATAAGTCAGTACCAACAACTCAACAATATTGTTTTAATTGAATACCAAGATATTAAATTTTCCATCACTATCAAAAGCTTGTCCATTAATCTTTGGCTGATTTACCCAAAGCAAGGCAGGGAAAGTAAAAAGTTTTTGCCGCCTTCGTTGTTAACCAGAATAAGGAAAGGAAGCTTTGACTTTGTCTCTCACTAAGAAGGAAAAGCAGCAATGTCTGCCAAAAGTATTGGTACACTACGATAAAGTTTCATATATTTTCAGTAGCAGCCCTATCTCCCCCTGAAAGTGTTGAATAGCAAGATTTTCAGACCTTAAATTTCATGCAATTTAGTTCTGTCGAATGGTCTTGGCCCGGGGGTCATGTCTCGTTTCTTCAAATGAATTGAAAGATGTCCGATAAGTAGAAAAGCTGCAGTCCGGGTGCACCAGCACCTTTAATTAGGAGACTTGGTCGTGAATAAATTGGGAAGGACTTTTTGAAAAGCCAAAATCATGTTGGACTTGTAAATCTTCGTGGGAAACCGAATACTTTTTCATATGGATGCAAAACCTATACTAAACTAGCCAAAGTTGAAATAAGATAATTTTACATGAAAGACCAGATACTCATACAGGGTTTTCTTGCAATATTATTTGATTGTTATAAAAAAAGAGATGTTTAAAAGTGCAGAATAATGGCCTAGTTAAAAAACTTTGAAATGAGGCAGCTATCAGTCAACTGACTCGTGTCTGGTCTAAAAGAGGCTGGGTTTACCTTCCCTTGTAACCGCCTGGGTCTAGCTACCCTTGAAACTAGAATCACAAATCCTTAGGTACAACCTGCTTTTTGTTTTTTAAACAGTGCGTAAAACCCAGACCATGCTAGGCCGGCATTATCGTTAGCAGTCTTTACGATTACACAATGCTAACATACCCCATCAAGGAAATCGAACTTTTAATGAATCTAGAAGCCTTGTCTTAAAAAAAAAACAAAATAGGTGCACCCTTACTATTTTCAAACCGGATGATTTTATTGTGAGTGAAAGACTTTGTGGTTTTGCTCAGGGATTGCAGTAGTCTGTTTTCATGAGTTTAAGAGCCTGCAATTTGAAGAATATTTGTCGATATGACCATTCCAAGCCTTCATTGGAAGCAAATTTGATAACAGAAATTATCAAGGGAAGGCAAAGCTTCTCGTGCAAGAACGTTTGTCTCCTTCTTCAAATTGCTTTAATGGGAGTTTCTGCCTTGATATACTATAAACTGTAAAGATAATGGAACAGAAAAATAAAGAATTGAACTTAGCATTGATTCAAGGCAACTTATCATTTAAACCCAATTCCAAGCTGTGTTGGTCAAATGCAATCTTCATTCTCGGGATAGTCCTCTCCCATATCGTTCGACGAGGATTGATGATTCTTCTTTGGAGAATGCCGGTGTTCTGTGCCAGTAAAGCAAAAAGTGCCACCAAATTCAGCCAATGCTTCCGCACTCTCATTTAATTCATTCGAAGACTGATCCGAATCAATATTACCATATCGCTGCCCGTCGGACAGCAAAACAGCAGTTGCTTATTTTCGATATGTTTACTACGGCTTCCAGGCTTGATGGCTAAGGTCATGACAAACATATTACCTCACTTCCTGTCCTCTCGCCCCAGACCCCGGTATCACGTTTAGTCTCCAATTCTGAGTTTTAAATTTTGAATTTTGGTGTCTTACAGGTATCTTTCGAAAATTTAAGCAATATTTTCTTAACCAGCGCCATCAAATTGCGTAAATTGGCCAATCAAAAATTTCGTTTCAGATGACCTTTAAGTATGTCCGAGATTTGAAATATGCACCTTTGAGCCCTGTGGATAGACCGCGCAATAAAAATTTCTTTACCATTGTCACTTTTATCTTGACTTTGAGTATTTGTAGAAATTTTATGTTACTCCAGGCGATGTGGTCCACATTAGAAATTCAAATAAAATATAGATCTAGATTTCATTAGATTTGAATGGTGTCGTCATTTAGCCATTTAAAGAATTTGCACGAGTGAATGGTATACTTTGAAGAACAACATCGGAAGCATAGAAATTTTACATAAACAAGGTTTCATTAAATCTTATTTCATACTCAACAAATGCTTAAGGGTCAGAGTTGTATTAAACAATGCAGTACCTTGACTGTCTAAGCAGTCATGATCAAGCTACGTAACCATTCAGCTGTAAGGAAACCTGTTAAACTAGATTGAAACCTAAGTTACGTCGATTGAAACCTATGTTACGTCGATTGAAACCTAAGTTATGTCAATTGAAACCTACAGGAAGCTCTTTGAGAAGCAAGTCAGTTTTGAGAAACCTATGTTGCGTTTGTGGAAACCTACATGAAGCTATTCAAAAGAAGCAAGTTAGTTTTGAGAAACCTATGTTAAGCTCATGGAAACCTACAGGGTGAAATTTGAAAAACAGGTAAGTTTTTTAGAAACCTATGTCGCGTTTAAGGAAACCTGAATAAAGCTATTTGAGAAACAAGTTAGTTTCGAGAAACTTAATTTTGGGAAACCACTGTAACGTACAGCACGCGATTTGAGAAACAAGAAAAATTTGAGAAACCTATGTTAATTAAGTTAATGGAAACCTACTGGTAGCCTCTTAAGAAACAAAGTACAAGTTTACATAAATCTTTTTTACGTTCCTGGAAAATAAGAAGCTTCTAGACAAGGAAAGGACAAATTAAGAGATATCTATGATACATTGATGGAAACCCACAGGAAGCCTCTGGAGAAGAAATAAAAAGTTTAAAGAAACCTTTGATAGGTTTATGGAAAATTGCATTGGTTAACAGAAAACTGCTGTAACTTTATGAAACAAAAACAATATGTGCTATCTTTGTTCAATATGGGGAAATTTAAAACATTGGTGTTAATCTGATGGAAACTGGTTTTAATTTTTCAATCAAGCTTGGAAACTATGTCGAATAGAAGGTAACCCATGTTATTCACACGAAGAAACCCAACTAAACTACTTTCATCTTATAAATACCCATTTTTCTATGTTGATTTTCAGGGTAAATTTGTTATCTTGATTGACAACACGGTGGCAAAGACAGAAATCCTTGCTACCACGAGGTGACATATGTTATTGCAATGCAGCAGTTTCTGGCTGCCAACAAACTGGATTCCCATACATGCCAATCAGTCAGAAAGCTATCAGCTAGCTACATTAATTTGAAGACCTAGTTTGGTGCTAATCATAAATCAAGCGAAATGAAACCATACACAAAACTAGCTACAAACTTACAAATAATTAGGAACGGATTCAATCATCTGATTGGTAGATCGATTAAGGGCAACACAATGCCCCGTATGCCAAAGTTTTCCAATAGTGATAATTACAGTAATAATAATAATGATAATATAACTTGTCCAAAACAGTGGTTCTCCGCTTCTTTTATTAAGGTGGTATTTCTATTAAAGGGGGCAATTTTAACAAATGTTATTGACAGCACTGCAGCTTTTTCTTCTGTTCAGTTTCTGCAGTCGGTTGCACGTGGATGGGTCGCACATTGTTACTTACTTGCGCATTGTCCTGGTCACTGGCATCTCGTATTTGTTTCTGTGATACAATGTGGTAAATTTCTACAAAAAAAACAAGGCATGTTATCACCTAAAGTTTGACAGCTCAAAAACATCACGTGACCACACTAGGTTTGACCGCACATACTACTAGTAAGAAAAACATGGAACAAACAGATCATATGATCAGTGTAATAGAGCAATAAAAATATCCAACGAAAACTTAAAGTTTGATTGCAAAGTGCTTTGAAAATAAAAAACCATAGGATCACATGAGAGTTAACTGCATATACTCATAAGGCTAGAGCTAGCAAATTTTTATCTTGCTAACTTTTTTTGTACCATTCCAGTAAAAAGGTAGTTCCCTGGTGGGAGACCAACAGATCTTTATGTGGTCTCCCATATATGGCCTGTGGTCTCCTTAAAAGCAACACTGGCGACAGGGGTGGACATTTCCAGTATTAAAATTTGGTCGTCCAGTGGTCACCCCCTGTAATGATAAGCAGTTTTCCGTAGATAAAAACGGGTGTGCAGGAGAATGAATTGTCCATCCCTGAAATTTGGCATCAATTACTCTTTGGCAACGCAGTTTTAAGAAGATTAATAACAAAATCATTAAGCTAACTAATAACCTAAACTTTGAATGTGCATGGAAATAATAGCTGTTGGTGTGTTTGAATTTCATCCTATTTCCAGAGATAAAAAACAGAGTATAGACAGTGCCACCAAATAACTCAAAATATCATATTAAGGTTTGGAAGTTCTTTGCAAATCCAATCAGGACCCTTATGATCTCTTGAATCAGGAAAAGGGAAGAAAAGATGTACAAACAGCAAAGACATCAATTTGAAAATAAAGAATCCAGAGAGCAGATTTTTGAGAAAAGGAGAAATGTTTAAAGGTGCTGAGAAATCTCCACTAATTCAGAGATTTGTAAGGAGAACCTTTTTTATGTGACACAGAAAGCTTACAAGAAACACTGCCAGGCAAAATTGATCTATACACTCAAGACAAATAGTATTTATGACCTGAAATGATGTTAGTTGAATAATAACTTTTTGAATTTGGATCACATAACATGATAGAGCACCAAGCAGTACTTCTAAATGTGATAAGTCAGCTAGATTTCTCTCAAATTGCCTTTTATGTGGCCATGAGTACATTCCTATCTATCACTAAGCTACTGTTTTTGACGCAGGTTCTTAAACTTTCGAAACTCTCCAGAAAACAGATAACCATTAGTTAAAACTCTGTTTTTTGCCGATTTCAATACAAAATGGTCCTTTCTGTTGATGTGACCAAAGATGAAAAATTCTAGGAGTAAATTTATGACATCATCATTTTGCTACTAAAATTGTATATATATATATAAATATATATATGTCAAAAATAAACTGCAACTTACCTTCAAGAATATTCCTAAAAGCCATTTCAACATTAGTAGAATCCAAAGCTGAAGTTTCAATAAATGACAAGCCATGCTTTTCTAGAAATGAAGAAACATCAATGAGAATATTGCCAAAATTGCAATTACAATTTCTGAATACACAACGGTACTGTTGGTTTAAGAGATGTTAAGAAAATTTAACAAAATGCTTAAAATATTCTGTTTAAAATGTTTACATATATGTTTAAAATATTCTTCACCCACAAAGAGGTGAATTGATTGCTGAGTGTCTCACGAAGCAATACAAAAATGATTAAATAAGATTGGAATCCATTGAATAGGAAACTTGTAATTTATAAATGAAAAATAAAATATTATGACTTCAAGCTAAAAATATTTACTCAGAATTTCAATGTGCTCATAAAATCTGCATAACAATGGCTACAATAAAGAACTGAATTGTTTATAATTCTTCTGCAGATTATATACAAAAAAACTTTGGGCAAAAAGATTACAAAATGCAAGACTTGACCAAAAGGTGGCTAGGTCTTTACAAATAATTTGTAACAAGGAATCTTAGTTCTAATATATATATATATATATATATATATAAAATTTCTTATCTCTTGAAGCCTTTGAATCTGGATTTGTTGAATAGCTATTTTAAGCAGCTGCCATATTTAATGATAAAACTTTATCGCATACTTAAAAAAGTATCTAAGTGGACCAACTAACCAAGTCAACGTGTAGCGATGTTTCTTGTCAAATAAAAACATGGCAAAAGTTTGATAAACACATTTTCTCTGATCTCATATTTCACAAGTTGGATTCTTGCTACATTGCAACTGGAAGGCTCCATCATAAAACTTTGGTGACATTTATGATCCAATTAAAAACTAAAAACTGTCGATTTATCCCTGTGCAATAAGAACAAGTCAAGTAGAAAAGCACAAATGTGTGTCCTTTGACCAACACTTACATTCCTTTTCTATAATTGTCAGCAAAACTCAATAGCTGTGACAAACAGACAGAGAACAAAGCCAACTTAACAGAAGTGCCAGGTGAGTTAAGAAAAGAAAAATAAATTTGTTAGCAGGAGATAGTAGGTTATGAAAGTAAAAGCCTAAAAAACTTATTTTGAATCAACACAATACGAAACAAACCTGCAAATGCTTTTGCCTCTTCCGTTGGCACAGCTCGCAAGTGCCTCAAATCGCTTTTGTTCCCAACCGTCATGATAACTATGTTTGAATCAGCATGGTCTCTCAGTTCTTTTAGCCATCTCTCAATATTTTCATATGTTATGTGCTTGGCAATATCGTAAACAAGTAAGGCACCAACGGCTCCTCTGTAGTATCTGAAAAAATACAAGAATTTAATTGCTACTTTTTCAATAATCTAACTTATGACATTTTTTAACAATGGCTTTGAAAAAGCAAACATTTTCAAACCAAACAAGCATGTTACTAAATTTTTGCTTTTTTCAAAGCCATTTTTAAATTCTGTATAAACAATGAAAAGACTATTTTCTTCTAAATATATATATATATTAAAAAGGTTTTAAAGCAAACTTTGCAAGCTTTTGCAAATGCTTGCCAACTTCAAAGTCCAATATTTTGGTTGTCTGTTAATTCAAGGGCTTCCCAAAATCTTGATAGCCATTTTCTGCTTCATGAGAAAATCAAAGATTTTAGGCTAAAAAGGCAAGTGCTGAATCTACCAAATATAGATTGATAAGTGCAAGTAAGAGAAACCAAGTTGAATGCAGAGTAGCTTTGTCTGATCAATTGAAGCAATATAAAAGTTACACCTCCAAAGAATTCATCAAGAAGAAATTCTGACGATATCCAACAACACAAACAAGCCTCAATTTGCTCAATTTTTTTAGTGAAATCAAGTTGGTGCTAAATCTGTTGTTAAATAAATCAACCTATCCATCATGAATCAACATTGGGCAATCAATGAGCATCTGATTGCTATCATTCTCACAGGTTGGCCAATTGCTGACCGGCAGTTGCTTACCCAACTTCTGTTTATATCTGTTTATTGCATTTTAACTGAGAGGCCCACCTCCCAGGATGGTAGCAAACAAGATGTTATAAATTGGTGAAAACTCAGAATCAAGTTTCACAAATTTCTGCACTCAAACACAAACACATTTACTTACGCACTAGTGATTGCTCTGTATCTCTCTTGCCCAGCTGCAAGAAAAATAAAATTTGAAAAAACATTATAAAACAAGATTTGGGCAGTACAAAATATAAAAAGGGCTTTGAAAAAGCAACCATTTCAAAACATAGAATAGATTGTTGACTGCACTCTTGAGAGTACAAAGCTTCAGAATTTTGATCAAAAACTTTTGAAAACATCAGTAGTGGACACATAGGGGAGGCAGTGGCCCCAAATTTTGGAAGACAATGATATTTTGTTCAAAGACAATGGGGGAGTATGACATTATATTGACAAAACAATAGGCTTGCCCCCCCAAATATCTGACCCATTGTATAATAAGTTGTGGATTAAAATCTATAGGCTTGCATTCCTGGTCACATTTCCCATATTAACATCAGGCTCTAGTTAGGTTTCAAATGCTTGTTTTTAAAAAGACAATTACCGACACATTGTGTACCAAACAACCTGTATTGGACAAACAGGAAAGTGAAGGTAACAAGTCATTTTGGTGTTAGATATTCACAGAAGCAGGTTAGATATGACTGTTATAGAGGAAACATCCTCCATCTACCATGAACTGTTGCTGGATTGCAACTCCACCTGAGGGATTGCAACAAGCTAAAGACAAAAAAATTCCATCATGGCACCCAAAACTCAGAGATGCTCTATTTAATCATGTAACCATCACTTTACTGCAGCATGATGCTCCAGGCTCCAGTTGGTCACTTTAGAGGCAGCCAGAAATGCCTGACAAAAACAAATGCATGTACCCACCAGTGTCCCAAATCTGTGCTTTGATTGTCTTGCCTCCAATCTGAATGCTTCTTGTTGCAAACTCTACACCAATTGTCGATTTTGATTCAAGATTGAATTCATTCCTTGTAAATCGAGACAACAAGTTTGACTTCCCTACACCAGAGTCTCCAATGAGAACAACTACAAGAAAAGCAAAGTTGAAGGGCTGATAAACATTTTATCTTTTGAGTGCTGGAATCAAATATTAGGCGAATTATAGCTGTATATATACCATATAAATCTACAAAATTAGTTAAATCTGTTTCTGATTTTCATATTGCCTGAAATACGGTCAATGAGCACAGTATACTACAATCCTTACGGAAATTGTTGGAACACTTGCGCAAAGCTGGAGCTTTTTTTGAAAAATCCCCCCCCCCCCTACCCTCAACCAATGTTGTTTGATTGGGCTGTTTTGATCATAAAGGTAAAATTTCTTCACTGAAAGTTCTATAAAGGTATTGAGAAAATAAATCAACATTGTACAGGGGGAGAGGGTGGACATTTTTGAAGCAGCAGTGATATTTTGGTAAGGTAGTTTTAGACTTGCTTTGTTTATTTGCATGCTGCAATGGGAAGGCCTTCCAGTTATTCTTAGGCAAGGATGGTAGCTACTTGAGCACTGTGAAATACAATTTGGTCTCCAGGTCAAAACAGCAATACAAAATCCATTAGCAGTCCAGGTTATATTGGCCCAAGATGACACATGCATGCCTCGACACACGCCTGCAAATGCCCAAACATATCACAAAAATGATACAACACTTCACCTGACTATCCTTTTTCTCTTTTGTTTCTTTAAATTTCTTGTTAGATTCTCTATTGCAGTCAAAAGTTATTATGATAGCATCTTTTAGGAAAAATTACTCAAAGTCCTGCTTCCATTATTCTGTTTTCCTATGTCTACGTTTTCAGATCTTTTCATCTTCATATCTTTTTCAACCGTTACCCATTACTCTTGGCCACTCTGTTTGATCAAAATGAAAAGAAAGCTGTTTCTCATTATTATATATTCATACGTTTTCATATCCAAGCTCTTTTTGAAAACTGAGAATCATGACCTCATTTTCGAATACCTCCAACTTGAACAGATTTTTCGGATGACTCAAAATTGGTATAAAATCATTCCATTTTAAAGCATGTCAATTGGAATGCAAAATTTGTTAAAAAGTCAAGACTGGAATGTCAATAGGAATGGATTCATTCGACTCCATTTTCATCAAAAACAGAGTAATGGCAACAAATAACTTTTGCTTTTTGTTAATTTATATTTCTTACAAGAAACTCGTAATAATTTGTGAAAACTATTTGGTTTATAAAAACATAATATGTTTTTTTCAAAAAGAGTTACACCCCTTCAAACAAACTTTGCATTTCGAAGGCTATGAGGTCTTTATTAAAACAGTAAGGTCTTTGTTCATGGATTGCAAACCATTGCACATCTCAACTTCTAAATATCCTTAGTCAATTTTCAGACAACATCAACACATTAAGGCTTTATAAACATTAAATGATCATAAAAGCATGTCATTTCACAATGCTTTTCTTTTCAAATAAATATGTATGTTGCGTATGGTACTTCATCCAGAATAATGATAATATAGTTAGCAAATAAATTTAGTACCAGAAGGGAAATATAATAGTTTGATTGTTAAGAACATGAGGTTTCGAGCATGTACTTGCTATCAAGTGGCTAGAAAAGAAACCAATTTTCATTCTGGTACTAAATTTATTTGCTAACTATATTATCGCTTTTCTTCTCACACTATGATGTCATACCAGACTGCATTCTTTGTCATGTACGGAGAATAAATTCACCAGAGAATAGATTAACCGCACAATCTAAGGTGGTTTTGAAATGATCTGTGAGATTTACTTTGAAAAATGAAATCTGAAAATATCTCATCTGTGCAATTGTTTTGATAACAGCAAAAAACAATTTGTACGTAGTTTCATGCTTGTTTTCTCTAAATTTGACAATTAATTGCTGTTAATCTTGGTCTTTTAGTACTTATTCTTGTTTATGTTATATATGTTACCTTAATTCAGGATTCTAACCAAATAGTAAATTATTAATCACATCTGTGCAAAAAGTATACCAGAATTTATGTTCTCTACCAAAAACACTGAGAATGCAATCTGGATGTTGTATTTTATGGCAAAGTTAGTCACAAATACAGGCTTTTAGAAAGTTAATGTGTGAGAAGGAAGAACTGCAGGATAGGCTGTCTGCCGGATTCTGTGAAACTTGCAATGAGTGTTGTTATGAAAGATATACAGGAACAAAGCAATATGTCGACGAGAATCCAATGTCACAAAATAAAATTTTCAAAATAAATTAAATTTAAAGGATATATATACTAATGTTTTGCCCCGGCATACAGGGCTTCATCTGCATTATAGAAGTTGAAATTTGTCCTTAGTCAATTTTCAGACAACATCAACTAATTAAGGCTCCAGAAACATTGAATTATCATAAAAGCATGTCATTTCACAATGCTTTTCTTTCTTAGAAAGTTGTTGTAAATATGAACAACAACAAACAAACATAAATCAGTTATGGCTAATATCTCGCCCCGGCATACAGGGCTTCATCAAAGCAAAGTCAAGAAGTTGTTGTAAATGAGCAACACTGCAACATGTTGCAAACAAAGTCCTGACAAAACAAATGAATTTTGCATATCTAATAAACTTTGCCCTGACATAAGGGGGTTCAAAACAACAAAGTCACTTCAAAATTTTACCAACTTTTTGCCAAAAGTATTCCATTGGCATCCCTCAAACAGGCTAATTCTATTTACTATGTTAGGCCTGGCCACAAGACCTTGAGCAGGGGAACAGTAAACAGCTCTCCTAGCAATTTTCCAGTGGTCTATTTGTTGATAAATAAAAATGGAAACAAAGGGAAAATGGATTCCAAGGAGAACAATTTGCTTTGTTTGCAATTTAGGAGAGCAATCTATAGCTCCCATCGAGCATTTGAGGAGAGCCTGGAGAGGTGCAAAAGCTACTGCTCTCCTCAAGTGGCCAGGCCTGCTAAGTCTTTTCATTATTAACATGTGTATATATGTAGAGAGTTCAAACAAGATCTGTTTTCACAGATTTTTTGTAGACTGTTGCAAGATTTAAAATATTGATTAACAAAACAATTAATTTCTTAACTTGAAACAGGTTGAACTTGAAGGAAGCTCGCACCAGTCTGGCAGAAAGTTTGTTTAACCGGATTTTACCTGAAGAGTGGGGACTTTCAACAATGAAAAATAAACATTTTCAGACAGTTGTAGAAAACAAATCACTGGGTTGTGCCTCTGGGATGCAATTTGGTTGTCAAAATTTAGGCCTTTCAACTTCAAATATTCTGTATTATGATAGGTGTGTTAAACATGTAAATGATATTCAAAATCATACATGAAAATCGTAATTTACTGTAAGACATGTAATGCATGGAAATAGAGTATCTCCAGCTTTTATCGTTGCTGCACAACATTTCAAATTAAGTGGAGATCATGGCCTAAATCAGGTTGCACATTGTAACTATCCCGAAAATGCTATCAAAAACCCAAAAGAAAAGCAGTTGCTTCGAACTCAACAAGTTTTTTCGTAGCTGACTGTTATATCCATAGATTTCAGTTCATTTATAAAGAATTAAACCCGTGGGGCTATTGAAACGCAATTTTATTACAACATTTATCGCTGATCTTTGTTGCCTGGAATTCTTAGGATAACAAAGGTTTGTCGAATATAAATGCAATGAGCACTAATTTATTACCCAAATTTGTCATTTATTGCAGTTTATATCACTTCCTCGGGGGAAGGGGCCTCGAAAAAATCAAGTGCTTTCTATGTCGACAGATTGGATTAAGTCTTCAACACTGTTTCCGCCTCATCACAAAATGGAATTTCTGCCGTGTACACATTTTGCAACAGCGTTTAGTCTAGGCTTATGGCGGAAGACTGCATTCATTTTTGCCTACATAAGCCATATTTTGATATTAATTATACGCGTAGCATTAACAGAATGCAAACAACAGAGTTCACAAAGAAGGAACACTGCGCCATTTCAAGTATAAATGTTTATGCAAGCAAAATAAAGTAGAAAGAAAAACCTAATAGGAGATTGGTGTCTTGAGAACTAGCAGACAACTAGCTAGAGAATCTTATTACTTGAATATAAAGACTTTAATCAGGTTTGTTGGATAATGTTGGAAGAAGTTCATTTTCAAACGAGAATGCGAAATGGAAAACTTACTCTTGAATAGATAGTCGTATTCGTCGTCTTTACTAGCCATCTTTCAGCGTCCTCGAATTCCAACAACAAACGAACAAAATTAAAAATCTGGCAATGATACACCAGTCAAAAGCCTCTTGAGCTTTTAAAAGGTGCTCGCAACGCTTGGTTCTCTTGTCGCTCTGTAGATGATACGGATTTAATTTAGGCCAATGAAGCGGAGAGTTACGCTGTAGCCATTTTCACTTCCAGCCAGTTGAATAACGCCCAATGACAATCACGTGATACATTCAGTTTGATTATAATTCAATTCAATGAGATATCGTAAACAATTCTATTCATCTTCGAGATAAAAATTTTCGGACGGTCTGTGGTCAAAAGTTGCTCTTCCAAAAACCTTTTATTCTAAGAAAAAAACGAATTGATAAAAAATGGCTTTGAAAAAAGCAAACGCTCTGAAATACAATTGAGCTTATCGTCTGACACTCTTCATGATAAAATACGTCAAAACATTTACCGGTAGAGTCATAACCAGCCTTTCCACTTACATAGGGTAAAACAAAAACGGGTTAAAATGTATCCGTTTTTGAAATGAGTCAATGGAAATGCCAGTTTGCTTTGATCTCGTTCTAATCCATTTTTGATCGTTTCTTTAAGCTAGGTTAAAATGTCCACAGACTTAAAATATGTCCTTAGCCCTCTACACTTCAGGTAAATTAGATCGAATTAGATTTAGATATTATAAACAGAAACCAAAGCACGCAGAGCTGTGAGGGAAATCGGAATTTACAGCACTAGTCCTTGTTTAATTTCGTATAACGCTGTTGTGGTTGTAAGTGGATCTAAAGTTAGCGGGTTTGGCGTTCCCACTAGCCCACAGGTGGGTTAAAACAGGGGCGTTGTGGCCAGGCGGGACACCGGGAAAAACCCTGAAAAATATTTAATATGAACAAAATCCTTGGTGAGAAAACGCCGCACTTTCATGTAGACTCAAGTTCACAGTTCAGAATCAGTGGAGGTCAATATTTACAAACAGGCCCCTGTGAAAGAGATACGTTGAATATGAAAAGGGACACCGAGAGGGGGACAAGCAGGGACAAACTGCCTCAGGGCCTCGAGGTCTAGGGGTCCGTTTGAAGCAAGGAATTCCAATTTATGAACTGAATATTAACGAAACGCAACAAAATATGCCTAAAAATCGTAAAACGTGGTAAGCGTCTGCAAAAAAATCTGAACCTTGTTTCAAGCCAATTTAGAGGGCGTGACCGTAAAAAATTTCCTGTTCGCTTCGCTCGCAGTGCATGTAGGTGCTCCCTTGCGTGTGTGTTTTTATTAACTGTGCACTACAGCATTGGATTTTTTCCAGATTTTTTGCAATCTTAAAGAAACTATGGTTAGAGAAAAGTGGAAGCACCCTAACAAATATAGCAGATGTTCATTCAAAAATGATAAAAACTGGCATCTTTGTAATTTTGGTGCAATGTTTCCAGGTATGTACCATTTTTGGCAACGTGTAGTTTGTTATTGGAAATGTCAAACAAAGGAGCGGGCCCCCTAATGATAATTTTATCCCGGCTGTATTCTAGGAGCCACAACGCCCCTAGGTAAAAAGATACCCGGGTTAAAAATGATCCACTCGTAGACCCGTTTTTAAACTCATCTGTCTTTCAAGTGGGTTAGTGGGAACGCAACGCAAAAACTGATAAATTTTAACCCGTTTTTGTTTTAAGCCGAATTAGTGGAAAGGATGCTATTGTTGGCAAACGAACTCCTTCTGTCTAGAAATAATGACTTTGACTATGAGCAGGCACCGCGGAGAAGGGGGGCTAGGGGGCTTTAGCCCCCAAACTTTTTGCCAAAAATGCAAAATCAGACTTCATTTTGCTGAGGTGCTGCACCCTTGTTGCTAAGAAAAAGCTGATTTCACTTCGTTATCTCGAAGTCCCAATGGCTTTTTGCCTGCTTTGGAAACAGGGCGTGGGAGCCTGACCCTAAAAACATTACCAAGTATGCTAGAAAAAGCATCTTTTGAAAAACCAACTATGCAGCGTTGATACCAAACACTTAGAGGAATAACATGCATCCCTTTTGATATACCTGGTCGTTTCAGTAAATGGGTAAAATCGTCAGCTTTTACAGCAGATGAACTAAAACAACTATAGAAAGAAGGTAATCTAAAGAAGACGTTCTTTTCAATTCCGAAATGCTATGTATATTGGTACAGGAATGGATGTGCTGATCTTAACTTCATTTCAGTATTCTTCAACAGTTATTTCAACAGTTCGCAGGAGCCTCATTCTCATGTATTTACTTCTCTAGCAGCGACTATGACGGCTTGAATCAATTTGCAGGGCTGGGAGGGCTTGAGCTTCCCAATAATTTGCTTCCCAATGAGCTTCCGAACCAAGGAATGTTTCATTTTTCAAGCTTAAAGTAAGAATTGTGTCTTTAGACACTTGGATCATTTTTCAGAAACATCAAATTGCTGGTGAAATCTGCTCTATTCTTTTCACATGAATGAAACTCAAAGAAAACCTTTTTTCTTCTAATTTTATCTCTAAAGTTTCGTATGTTTTTACGTTCTTATAAAAAATGTGTATTTATGAATAATGTATTGTCGCGGTTTTGAACTGGCAATTGGAGGGGGGGTTGGGGCTGCTGGCATGGCCACCCTACGTCTATCCTCTGACAATCTGTGTTCGCTTATTTTTCTGAGGGTTATGTTGGAATCCGCGTGCAAGTATGTCATTCCGTATTTTACTGGACTCAGCCCATTCTCTTGTAAACCTTGTTACAAAGTTAAACAAGAGACGTATTCTGAGAGACAAATTCATGAGCCGACCTCCGTCCCTGCAATAACAGTTTCACAACGAGGTTGTAAGTTTAAGTGCTGCAGAGAATCGAGGCAATGATTCATGGTAACCGGCCTTTAGTCCCGGAAGCATTTCGCCAACAGTAGGGTATTAATAAAAATCAACATTTCACTAAAGGAGAATTTATAAAACAAACAGAGCATGAAATGGTCTTTGACAATTTATTCGTCTCAAACCTTTATCTTGTTGCTTTAGCCATTGGCTTGCAAAAATTAGACCGACAGAATTTTTGTATGATTTTACTGGCAGACATTTCAAGTCCTGTGCATTTGCGCGAGACACACACATTTCGGTGATTTCTCGGGCTTACGCGCAGCTAAGTAGAATGCAAGCGAATTCACACATAAAAATACTTCGTCCTAAATCCAAAACCTAGGAAAAATTTCCTTTCCCAACATGGCCTAGCTACACACTAGAAAATTACAAGATGAATCCGCACAAGTTTAGTGATGTCAAATAAATCGAAGAGCTATTTCAGCATAATCGTCTAGATGAAACGATCTATTGCGGCAAATGGTATCGCCCCGTGCCATTTTATGATGGACAAGTTTAGGAGAAGACTTTACAAATTTAAGTTACTGGGACCTTAGGTTGCAATCTATACTTTAGTAAAGCATGCAAGTTGTTTGCTTGCTATACTAAAGCATAAGTTTAAGACGTTGGATTGTCAAACTGTAGTTGATAAATAAGTTTTTTTGATAAACTAACAAATTCGCAGCGCCGGCCTATCTTGACGTAAACGGAGATTTAAAAAGGTCATTTAATTATGTTGCCCTAATGCATTAGTATTTTTGACAATTAAACAAGATCAAACGGAGGTTAATCCAGCCAAATCTACAGAAAGAAGAAACCGATGACTAAAGAATAATTCGTTTAACTTCGTTTTCAAAGTTAAAGATGGTATTATTGCCAAGTGCAAACGCAAAGGCCCAGTCAGTATGGTCGCAGCTAGGCCCACCTTGTCCGCCATTGCACTGAAAATGTTTAATCTGAAAACTGTCCCAAAGGGGGGAAACTAACCAATCAAATAACCATATGGAATAAGTAAAAACGAATTAAACTTGCTTATAGTCAACCAGAATTAATCTATCATGCTGCAAATTGCATGAAAAAGTGTAAGAGAATTAATCAGTGTGAGATTTTGTTGGAAATTTATTACTGTTGAACAAAAAGATTATGGATCAAATCATGAGCGTTTATACATACTATTTATAATTACACAAAGTTATTCAAGATTAGTGTATTTAATGTCAATTATTATTTTTCTGGTGCAGCTCAAATCAAAATCTGATACAAAGTTTTAGTGCCAAATGCAGGCTACTTTTTCCTTTCTCAAAACAGCAGGGAAGCTACCAGTGGCCTTCATTTAACTGGCATGGGCTTCTAACCAATCAGCGATTGTCTTCTCGTTTCTTTTCAACCAGGCGATGTTAGCTTTTATTTGTTCACGTGATTGTGTGATTGTCCGCGCGGCAGTTCCCGCGTCTTTGATCGTCGCAACAAAGTCATCGAACTACAACAAACAGAATTCAAGAGCTGAATCTTCTATTGCTATCATATATGCACGTGACGCGAAAAGTATGACATAAACATGCAGACAACTCTGTCTAATTCGAACTCGTGTAAATCAAACATTTGCTAACTCGAATTAAATTCTCAGGTCCCTTTGAAATATCCCAACCAACTCTTCAAAAAACCTCCAAAATTCTAATCTCTATGATTTGAACGTTTAGCAATTCAACCAATTTTATTGCTCTCCTGAGGAAAGCAACCATTTTAGTCCGAACTTTCTGCGAATTGAAAATCGCTTGTGACATAAGTACCTAATTTTGTTGAATACTCTTTATACAATAATTGATATTATTGTAATTTTTGGCTATTGTTCAAGTCATTTCCGTCAATACTTGTTGATGAGAGGACTAATTTCGAGGTGAGATGAAAGGACTAAGTTCGAGGTTAGGTGAGAGTACTAAGTTGAGGTGAGGTGAGGGGACTAAGTTCGAGGTGAGGTGAGAGGACTAAGTTCGAGGTGAGGTGAGAGGACTAAGTTCGAGGTGAGGTGAGAGGACTAAGCTCGAGGTGAGGTGAGAGGACTAAGTTCGAGGTTAGGTGAGAGTACTAGGTTCGAGATGAGGTGAGAGGACTAAGTTCGAGGTTAGGTGAGAGTACTAAGTTCGTGGTGAGGTGAGAGGACTAAGTTCGAGGTTAAGTGAGAGTACTAAGTTTGAGATGAGGTGAGAGGACTAAGTTCGAGGTGAGGTGAGAGGACTAAGTTCGAGGTGAGGTGAGAGAACTAAGTTCGAGGTGAGGTGAGAGGGCTAAGTTCGAAGTTAGGTGAGAGGACTAAGTTCGAGGTGAGGTGAGAGTACTAAGTTCGAGGTGAGGTGAGAGGACTAAGTTCGAGGTTAGGTGAGAGTACTAAGTTCGCGGTTAGGTGTGAGTACTAAGTTCGAGGTGAGGTGAGAGGACTAAGTTCGAGGTGAGGTGAGAGGACTAAGTTCGAGGTGAGGTGAGAGTACTAAGTTCGAGGTGAGGTGAGAGGACTAAGTTCGAAGTTAGGTGAGAGGACTAAGTTCGAGATGAGGTGAGAGGACTAAGTTCGAGTGAGGTGAGAGGACTAAGTTCGAGGTTAGGTGAGAGTACTAAGTTCGCGGTTAGGTGTGAGTACTAAGTTCGAGGTGAGGTGAGAGGACTAAGTTCGAGGTGAGGTGAGAGGACTAAGTTCGAGCACTAAGGTTCGAGGAAACATTCTGTTACATCCTTTAGCAACTTGCAACATATGATAGTATCTTGCAGAGCAGATGTAAGTAGGGCAAAAAAGGATTTATCAAAAACACGCGTAAGTGGAAAATTTTGTAGTTGAACATTCCTTCGATCCCCCAGAGAGCCAAATGAAAGGAGCTGCCCGACACATCTCAGAGTATAAACGTTGGGGAGTGACATAAAGTAAGCTGAAACTATATCAAGGTGTAAAGTGAAATAGTCGGACATGTGCTCTGAAGAGTGTCGGACGAAAAGTGTTTTAGTAAGCAAAGTTTCCGGTATTTCCTGCAATCTTCAAGTTAATTTCTATTTACGAAATTTAGCGAAATATATTTGCTCAAGGAGCTAGCTACTTCAATACATATTAGAAAAATTAAATCTTTCCAGAATATAAAACAAGGGAAGTATCCTTAAATAATCCCTAGGGTACAGTGTGTATTTTCAAATGTCGTGTATTTCTTGAGAGATGGTATTGGATAAAAATAAGATGACATTGGGTATCAATGTAAAAAAGCCGTCTTTTAGCGTCAAGAGAATAGTGCGGACAAATATTCCCTTGATAATTCACCCGAACCTTGTTTTCAAAAACAGCGAAAAAAATATTGCCATTGAAGAATACAGCATGCAGAGGTGAATATATAGTTTAATAATTGGATAAATATTAAAAAACCGGACAGCAAATGATGAATGAATTTATTCTAACCTGTTTCAGTTCGTAGTCGGTTTTGAACCCTGATGTCACACTCGAGAAAATTCTCCGCATAGCGAAGAACCCACCACCGAATCTGTTGGAAAATCCACAAAGAATGATTGATTATTGATATCAAGAAAAGTGTACATTACAGAAAACTGAATTTTTATCATCTGTTGAAAAGCTTTCGTACCCTCAAGGGGGGGCAAATAAAACCCTCAAGGGGCAAAGAAAACCCCCAAGAGGCAAATAAAACCCTCAAGGGGCGAATAAAACCTTCAAGGGGCAAATAAAACCCTCAAGGGGCGAAGAAAACCCGCAAGGGGGAAAGAAAATCCTCAAAGGAGGGCAAAGAAAACCCTCAAAGGGGCAAAGAAAATCCTCAAGGGGCAAAGAAAACCCTCAAGGGGCACAGAAAACCCTCAAGGGGAAAAGCTTGTGCAAAATGCTAAAATAATGGGTCTAAATTTCTTGCAAAGGACAGATCTTAATCGTTAAATTTTCAAACTATTGCAATGGCATCATTTAAGCTTTGTTAACACAGCTAGCTCGAAAGAAAATGACCTAAAAAATTTAGATTAAAACAAAATATTCGTTACAATATGCCTCGCGACTAAGGGAGACAGCAGCCCATCATAGCACAGATTTTCAACTAGCAATTTAATGTAAAACAGAAAATCTTCAAATCTACTCTAGGTATCTCTGATGCTCTGTCTGCTTTGAAGCTCTGATTTAAACATTTCTCATTAGCTCGCTCATTACTACTCATTTAAGCAATGCAATTATCTAGGAATTGTAACAAAAATCTGAGTACTCTATTAAACATGCCTTTTGACGATATAGTTGAAGGGATTGGAAAGGGGAAAGGGGGGTACGTGGAGAAGTGGGGGAGGGGGAAAGTGAGGAAGGGGCGAAGTGG